CAAAAATTGTATGTCCTTATATTAGCAACGAACAATTGAAAACTTAAAAAATGTTTAAATGGCACAATTTTCAACAGTGTAAAACATAAAATAGAAATAAATTTAAGGGAAAATTTGCAAGCTCTTGCAAAGAAGATGGTTCACTCAAAACCACAAAGATTTACTGAGTGAAAGAAGACTCAAATAAATAGAATAGGATAGCACATTCATGAATTAGAAAAACTGTCGTAGATATTAGTTGTCATGGAGTTGACCTACAAATTCAACCCAAGAACAATAAAAGATCCCCTTCTTCCTGTGAACTGACAAAAGATGAAGCTAATGTGGCAGCTGTTTCTTCAAGATTGAAATTACATTTAGGGTAAAAAAATAAATAAATAAATAACAGTTCTGGGATTACCTCCTTGGATTCTCACCTTCTTTTAGATTTTGGCTCCATAGTTCCTCCCCTGATTACATATTCTATATAATTTAAAGATGTTTTCTTGTTTTTGTATATTATCCAGTTTTTAATTTGTTATTGGTAAAGAGTCAATTTTCTAGCTCTATAGGATGTCTCCACCTTCTGTTTTTCCTATCAGTCAGTTAGATAAAAATTATTTTGAGTATTTACTGTGTGACAGGCTCTTCTAGGCACTGTGTGTGTAATGACAAGCAAGGCAAAGTCTTTGAACTTAGAAAGATCTCATTCAAATAGAATATATATTTATTTTTCCATTCAAGCATATTTAGAAACAATGGTTATACAATGCATGAACTTTAAGTAAATGTCAACTTCTTCTTCTGAGGGCTTCTCTGGGGAACTAGAACCTCACTTAATAGACTTGTAAACATTAGCACCCTGCTGAATTGGAGGACCATCATAAAATCTGTTCAAAGTCTGGGTAGAGCAAGAACCAGGGGAAAAGAACCTGAGATGGTAAGTGAGGGACTAACATTTTAAAGATGACTAAGATTTCACCACGTGATCAGTAACGATTGGAGAAGTGACATGTGAGGCATCTGTGTCCTTGTCTTTTCTATCCCACAGATATTGAGAGTATAAGCCTCCAAGAGAGAAAAAGTAAGAAACAAGAAGCTTGAAATTTACCCAAGTTTCAGAAGTACCTTGAACTAAAAAACTCCTTTCTACAGCTTTTAACCACCAGTATAAGGAAGTTCCCAGGCTCTTGCCAGTTTTATGTAGTCCCCGAGAAGAAAGACAGCAGAGCCTGACAAGGAAACCATCAAACCACTCATACCTGGAAGGATGCTATCAGACAACTGATACAATGCAAGGCCTTTAATCCCATCCAAACACCCACCTGGGAGGCCAATAGAGAAGCCACCCTCCAAACTGCATTGCTTACCTTGAAGGTGCATGAACCAACAATTTCCTCCATGAAGGTCTTTCATCCGGAAACACAACCCAAAAGGACCTCCACTACGGAATCCCCCTGAGAATCCTCTCTCACGCTGTTTCTCACCATTTCCAGCATTTCCTCCTCCTTCAGGCTGTCTTCAGGAAGAATTAGCCACATCTTGCCTTTGTGCTTGTTGTTATTGCCATTCAGCCAATCTACATTTGTTGACCTGCTGCTTTGTGCTTCACTTTGTCCTAGCAGGATTCACAGCATCACTGGCAGACTGTAAAGTGGTGTACCCTTATAGAGGGGATAAATGGTGGTGGGAAAATACAATAAAGTAAAGAGAATCTAAGAAAAAGAAAAAAGTATTTGAGAATTTATACTGGCTGCAAAGAGAAATGGTCTATAATTGAACTTAGATAATCCTAGATTGAGTCCTACTTCTGACATTTACTAACTCTGTGACATTTTTCCCTCTTACCTATTTATTTTAATTACAGTATCCTCATCTGTAAAATGGTAAAAAAAAAAAAAATCGATAATATCCATTCACCTCATAGTAGGCTTTTGTCATTTGACATAGTGGGTGTAAAACTATTTTCTAAGCAGTAAAACAGCATACAAATGTGAAGTATTCTTTCTTTTCTCCTTCCTTCCTTCCTTCCTTCCTTCCTTCCTTCCTTCCTTCCTTCCTTCCTTCCTTCCTTCCTTCCTTCCTTTTGTTCTTTCTCTCTCTCTTTCTTTTTTCCTCCCTCTCTCCCTCCTTCTCTCTTTCCTTCTTTCCTTTTTTACTAGAAACCTCACTTCTTATTTTTTTCTGTACCCACAGCAACTCATTTTCAGTTGGGGAGGCTGAGGAAAGTAAATTGTTCAAGGTCTCACAGCTGGGAAGCGGCAGGGATGAGTGTGGAACTAAGTCTTCCTAAGTATGTGTTACATCCTAACATAACCCCTCTGTCAGCTGTTCTCAACCCAGATTACTTATCTGAGTCGTTCTTAAAAAATACAGATGACTGGGTTTCACCCAGACTTTTGGAGCCAAAATTCCCAGATTCTAAGGCGATCTGGGAGAGTGGAGTTCTCTGTGGGCTGTGGTGGTGTCTGAGCTGGGAGCTGGCGGTGGGGAGGATGTCTGTGGGCATTACCTAATGCTGACCTCCGGCATGGCCTGAGTGTGTGCCTGGGGGATGTGTAAGCGATGGGAAGACGCTGTCCCTCAGGGCCTGTAATGGTGGGAGAGCCTGGTTCCTGTGGTCAGGGCCTGGAGCCTTTGGTTTATTCCAGGAAGTCCTGCAGCTTTTCGTTTGGAATCTTTTTCTGGCTACATGTTCACAACCAAAGTGGAATTCTCCAAACTTGGAGAGTTTAGCAAAGTAAAATGTAAAACTGGACTATGTCAGTGTTTTATCGCTACAAGCTTGGAGTGTTTTATTGCACTGAGGTCAGATTAGCTCAGCTGAACCTCTCAGCTGAGAGGTGCTTCTTCAAAATAAATATTAAAAAATTAGGCCGATGACTAGTGCTGAAACTTGGATGGCTGTACAGCAACATGGGGTTTTGCAGTGTCAGCCTCATTTCCCATGTTATCAGAAAGGCGAGTGGACCAGGACACAGATACAGTTGAAGTTAGGATGTGTAAGGTTTATGCTTATTTACTCACTTTATGTCTTCACACCTGTGATTTCTAGTTAATGCAATCAGGATGATTCTGCTTTCTCCTCAGGCACAGATTCTCTTTCTTAATGAGTTACTCTGACACTACTTATATAGTATTATAAATCATGTTTGTAAGGCTCTTTAGATTACAAAACACATGTACCTTGATTTTCATTTATTTATACCTCATCCTTTTCAACAAATGATTTAAGAATTTCTTCAAAAACATTTTCTTACTTTTAATAAACTAGTGAGGTGGCATAGGTTAATAAAATTAATATTGGTTTTAAGTGTACAATTCTATAATGCACCATCTGTATATTGCATTGTTTATTTACCACCCAAAGTCAAATCTTCTTTCATCATATAGTTTACCTCCTTTACTTTTTAATTCTATCCTCACCTCCTTTCCTCTGGTAACCACCATACTGTGTCTGTATATATGAGTTTTTGTTTGTTTGTTCACCAATTGCTTTCAATTTTTTATCCCATATGAGTGCAATCATATGGTTCTTGACTTTTTCCATCTGACTTATTTTGTTTAGCATGATATTCTCAAGATCTATCCATGTTGTTGCAAATAGAAGTATTTCATATTTTCTTATGGTTGAGCAGTATTCTATTGTATATATGACACATCTTTATCCACTCATCTACTGAAGGACTCTTTGGTTGTTTCCATGTTTTGGCCACTGTGATTAATTCTGCAATGAACATAGGGTTGCATATATCTTTAAGAATAAATGTGTTCACATTTTGGGGGTAGATACTCAGAAGGGGTGTTACTGGGTCATATGGTAACTCTATTCTTAATTTTTCAAGGAGCCTCCATACTGTTTTCCATAGTGGTTGTACCAGTTTATATTTTCATCAGCAGTGAGTGAGAGTACCTTTTTGCCCACAACATGGGCATGTGCCCTGACTAAAATGGAACCATGACCTCCTGGTGGACCCTCAACCAGCTGGGCTATACTTATATTTTCATAGGAAAAAAAGCAGAGTCAAGCAGGGAGTAACACACTGAAAGGCACATTGCAAATGTGCTGCTCCAAGCTAAGGTTGGGGCTGGGCTTTACATCCAGCCTCCCAGAACCTGAGGGGCCTCAGAGGCCACGCCCCCACCACAACCAACCACGCCCCACAACACCCTGGCCACGCCCCTCCATGCCCGGCCACCCCCCCCACCACGCCCGGCCACGCCCCCACACGCCAGGCCACCCCCAGCCCGCAGGTGAGGCCTCAGCTCAGCCTCCATCTTGAGAGACGCTGGTCTCCTCAGTGCGAAGTCCAGGCTTGAGTTGGGGCTGTGAAGTCTCGGTAAGTAAAGTGTCCAGCTCCCCGCCTCCCACGGAAGCCTCTTCCGAAGTAGGAGCCGCCTCCCTCATTCCCACGTCGGCGGTCAAACCCGGGCCCGTGGACTCAGCTCTCCGGGTCGGTTGAAGCTGGCGCTGCCATTCCCTGCGGGGCTGGTGGAGGAGGCCGTGGCCGGAGGGCCTCCCCCTGTGCGGGCCCCTGGCCTGGGGCCCCTCCCGGCGGGACCGCAGACCCAGGGCCAGCCTGCGGGGCGGCCTGTCCGGAAGGCCCCGCAGGTGTGAAGGGCCCGGGGCCTTTGTCTGAGGACCACGGCCCAGCGCTGCACGGGTTCAACGTCTGAAAATGGTTGTGCAGTGAGTTCTCCCCAGTTCCCTGTTGTTTTTTTTTTGGCGGGAGGATGAGTCCTCATTAGGCCCTCCATCCTGACAGGCACGCCCTGGTTTTTGACTCAAAAACCTGCTGGCATTATTGGAATAAATGGTCGTATATGGTTCAACCCCGTCTCTGCTGGATTGGCTCAAGTAGTGACCAGCAGCCCAGACCCATCGGTTTGTCTGGTTCCAGTTGTGCTGCTCCCCTACACCATTATGTGTCTTTATTCATGCTGTCCCTCCTGCCAGGCTTGCCTGCTTCCCACCCCCAGCTCTCCCCTGGCTAAATTCTCTGGTTGGTGTAAGACAGAATGGTACTTGGGAGGAATGGGCCTTGGAGGGAAAATCAAGATTCGGTTTTGGACATGACATTTGAGAGAGACCGTGAGAAATGCAAGTGGGAATTTCAGTCGGCTGTGGGGTCTGGAAGGGGAAATTTGATTATTGATGCCCTCCCCGCTCCTGCCCGCCTGCCCCCCTCCTAAACGTTATTGAAATTTCACTGTGGACTTGGCTACCCAGCTGGTAGACTCAGAGTTAAAGGTCATGCAGTCAGGCGGGAAATGGCTGCGGTTAAAATGCTGCTGTCTTTTACCCAGCTGTTATTCATTCCAGCTGTTTACCACCCCCTCAACGATGTTTGTTCCAACTATCTATCTTCGATAATTCGGTATTTGTAACTTAGGCACCAATTTCGTGTAGTTTTTCCTTCTAGATTCATCATCACCTAGTTCAAACTTTCTCCTCATAGTTCATTGTGATTATTTCCCTTTGATCCATGTGGCTTTATAAAGATAGTGTTTCATTACCATATGTGCAGTTTTCTAGTTATCTTTTTCTTACCGATTTCTGGCTTGATTGCAATGTAGTCAGAAAATGTGCTGTTGAGATTTCAATTTTTACAAGTTTATTGCAACCTGTTGTGTACTCAATACATGATCACTTTTCATAAATGTTCTGTTTCCATTAGAAAAGAATGTGCATTCTGCTATTATTGAGAATAGTGCTTTGTAAATGTGAGACTGGTGTGTTATTCAAGTTGTTAAAATGTTCTATATCCTTACAGACTTTTAAAAATCTGCTTATTGTGTCCATTATTGAGAGAGATGTGGTAAACCTTTCACCATATTTGTGGACTTGTCTTTTGCTTTTATATGGGGATATGTGGTTGGATGCCTATAAATTGAAAATTCTTTTTAAGAAATCATTTTTATCATTATGGAATGTGCCTTTTTGTTTTTACTAACTCTGGTTGCTTCAGGGTTTTTTGATCTGCTAGTAAGTAGATTGTACATTAGTTACACCTTTTGGGTTCACCCTGTTTGCTATGTAACTTTAGTTACATAGTGCCTGCCTACCATGAGTTGACCGCTGTGCTTTTGACTTTGACCTCAAGGCATCCTTTGAAGCAGAGGCTTGAAATGGGCTTGCACAGTGGAACTTCCTTTCTTGGACATTTTCCATCACCACGAGACCTAACCTGGTTGAGTGACACACATGGAGCAGTCAGGTCACCCCAGACATCCTAGTTGAGAACAGTCTAGAGCTGCAGAACAGGTAGTCAATCAGCTCAGATGTATGTGTAGTAAATGCTTATGTTTTTGTTACTGAGGTTTTGTCTTTGTTTGGTACATGGAACATCCTAGTAATGAAATGGTGATACACACACACACACACACACACAGACACACACACAGACACACACACACAAGGTACTATATCTTTTTCCTTCTACCTCAACAAATCAACTTCTTATAAGGAGCATATGGTGGATTTTGTTATTTTAATAGACAACTTTTGTGTTTTTTAAATTGGAACATTTAGTCCACTTACATTAAAAGGAATTATAGCTATACACTGAGTGGCCAGATTATTATGATCTCCTGCACACCCTCACGCAATTATGCATGAATTCGTGCGTGGTTGGGGTCAGGCCAGCCTGGCCAGGGGGAGAGGACATGGGTGGGTGGCCAACCTGTCTGCTGGTCAAACTCCTGGTCGAGGGGACAATTTGCATATCAGCCTTTTATTATATAGGTTTACACTAAGTGGCCAGATTATAGTATTATGCATGCAGAGATCATAATAATCTGGTCACTCAGTGTATAAAAGGCTGGGCCAAAAGTAGGTTTGCACATGTGAGTACTCAAAAAGCAGAGTTAGTAAAGCTATTGTAATTATCATAATCTGCATGTCTTTTTCCATACAAACAACTATATACCTACTTTTGCTCCATTCTGCACTTAGATTTAAATCAGACAGTGTTTAAATTAAATCTTCATTGTTGAGATTTAATTTACAGATGTCTCCCTTTGCAACCCTCCCAATTGTTCCCTCCACCTGGTTCCTGCCCCACCCCAGGCCTTCACCACACCACAGTCCATGTCCATAGGGAATACATATATGCATATATGTTCTTTGGTTAATCTCTTTCAACCCCCCCATCTCCCTACCCTCTGAGACTCGTCAGTTTGTTCCATGTTTCTATGACTCTGGTTCTATTTTTTTCATCAGTTTATTTTGTTCATTAGATTCCTCTTCTTTTTTCTTTCTTTTTTTTTTAAATATATTTTATTGATTTTTTACAGAGAGGAAGGTAGAGGGATAGAGAGTTAGAAACATCGATGAGAGAGAGACATCGATCAGCTGCCCCCTGCACACCCCCCACTGGGGATGTGCCTGCAACCAAGGTACATGCCTCTGACTGGAATCGAACCCGGGACCTTTCAGTTCAAAGGCCGACGCTCTATCCACTGAGTCAAACCAGTCTCAGCCCTCTTCCTTTTCTTAAAGAATATCCTTCAACATCGAGGCAAGACCCTTCACTGGAAAAAAGATTATGACTTGCTGAAGGCTCAATGGTGGTTAGCATTTTTTAACAGTAAAATGTTTTTAATTAAGGTGTGTACATTGTTGCCGAACCGGTTTGGCTCAGTGGATAGAGCGTAGTCCAGGTTCGATTCTGGTCGTGGGCACATCCTCAGTAGGGGGTGTGCAAGAGGCAGCTGATCGATGATTCTCTCTCATCGATGTTTCTAACTCTCTATACCTCCCTCTCTTTTCCTCTCTGTAAAAAATCAATAAAATATATTAAAAAAATAAAATAAAAGGTGTGTACATTGTTTATTAGACATAATGCTTTTGCATATTTAATATACTACAGTATAGTGTACACCTAACTTCTATTTGCATGGGAATCAAAAAATTCACCTAGCGTGCTTTATTGCAGTATTCACTGTGTTGTGATGGCATGGTACCAAACCTTTAATATCTCCAAGATATGCCTGTACTCACTTCCTTTCTTTGATGGATTGCCATCTTTCACTGCCTATTGTCTACTGTCTCAAAACAGGCTTCATATTTTCCCCAGATTTTTAGTCACTTAAAGTGGGAGGATTACTGCAATCCCTGCTACTCCATTTTGTCCAAAAGTGGCCATTTAGACTCTGTACTATTAACACGGAGTCCTTTTCACAAAAGAACAAAGTGGAGCATAACAAAGTTTTCAGGAGTAGAGACTATTGCCTGGGATCAGGCCTTTTAAGACTGTTCTTGTTTGTTTTTAAATACATTGTTCTTTTCCCCCCAAATTCCACACATTCTCTGAAAGTTCCTGAGTCTGACAACAACATTCTCCTATTACAGTGGGGTGAGAAAATGCAGTAGTGACAGCTATATGTCCCCCCAATATCTTTTTCCTTTTTTTTAACTAGTAAGAAAACCCCGTCACTAAAATGCCACGTTCAGTTTCTGTAAATGTCCTTAAAATAAAGGGAAGTATCATTCTTTATTCCTTCCTCCTTCCTGTTAGCTGGAATTTGGATATAACTTGAGCTGCCACTTTGGACCCTGAGAAAGAAGCCTTATGCTGCAAAGGAACAGCAAGGTGGATAATGTCTGGGTTCTTAGTGACATTGTGAAGACACAACATAATTTGTTCTTTCTACCTTTGAAATTTTATGTTGGCAAAAGAAAAAATATATTTGTTTTATTTCAGGCATTGCTATTTTGGATATTCCATTATTATTAATTGAGGCTAATCCTCACCAATTCCATATGGGAGAGGATAGAAAGGAAAGGGGCAGGTTCTGTGTGTGTGAGTCACCTATTAGTCAAAGATTGTATTTTTCATATACTTTGTCCATACCTCTAAGTTCTCAAGTTATTTCAGTTTAAAAGATACATTTGTATATATTACCTAATGTGATGCTTTCAGCATCTATTAGTTGGCTAGTGCAGAGAATATGGGCCTGTTTTAGAGTTGAGAAAACATTGAGTGGTGCAATGACCGTGATAAACACTCAACAAGTTAGTAGGAAAGGTGGGATGAAGCTCTGGTCTTCTGTGCTGAATTAAGTACAGTATCCTAGATTATGTACTTAAAAATAAATCAATTTTTATGAAATTTTCTGAAGAATAGTTCAGAAAAGGAGGTACTACATCCTGGTTGTTTTATTTGTCATTGCAGCAAAAGGGTGAACCATGGAAAAGAAGAAAAAGCAGGGGACAAGAATATCGAAAATGTGTATTTCATGTGTAAAAGACAATTGCAACCACGAGGGCTTTGTCACCTGCATTACTGGCTTATACAGCTGTCAGTGGGAAGACAAACTAGAGAAGCAATCTGGACGTGGACCCTGCTGCTGTTCTTGGGTACAGAAAGATGTGGAGATAAGACCACACTTCTGAGATGTGGGGAACATGGGCTGGCCCCGGCCCCCATGAGGGCTCATTAGCTCCAGAACAGGGCATGCTTGGGCTCTAGTTCTCCCAGGAAAGGTCCACCGCAACCCTGGAGCCAAAGTTAACCTCACTGAAACATGTGCTCGTGTTCTCACTTTTACTCTTCACTTCTCCTTATCCTTGCCACCTCTCATCATTCATTTATTCATTCACTCACTTTTGCTTTTATTCACTCAGTGAACCTTGAAGAAAAAGTGAAGTTTAAATACATTTAGATGTTTTTGTCTAGGGATTGCAGGAATGCCTGAATATTTAATTTTCTCTTCATTGTGAGTTTCCCAAAGGAGCTTTGCTTAGGAGAAAGAAAAGAAGAAAAGCAAGTGGGGAAAAAAGGTGCTCTTTTATTTATTTTTATTATTTTTTAATGTTTTTTTTTTCTGAGAGGAAGAGAGAGGGAGAGAGAAACATTGATATGAGAGAGAAACATCAATGGCTGCCTTCTTCATGCAGCCTGACAGGGGAGTGAGCCTACAACATGGGCACGCACCCTGGTTAGGAATCGTACTGGTGACCTTTCAGTGCATGGGATGATGCACAGCCAATTAAGCCACACTGGCCAGGGCAAGGTATTCTTTTATTATTGGTCAGACTAATGCCTCATTTTCCCCAAAGAAGAACTCTGATAAGCCTGAGTGGTGGCATGTGGCTTACCCTCACCTCATGGCAGTATTCAAGGTAAGATGGTGGTGGTCTGGATTCGAGAAGTGATGGTAAAGATGGAAAAGAGTGAATTCATTAAAAAGAGATTTATGATGTGGAGATGAAGTTGTCACATGAGAGCTATAAAGAAGGACAAAGAGAGAAGGATAAAGGGAGGCTTCCTGGGAATGATGACACGTAAGGCAATGTGGCACCGTGAAAAGTCCCTGGACCCGAGCCTGGGGGTATGTTTGGGACCTAATTCCAACTCTGCCCTTGGGCTGGTTATATGAATTGAAGTAGATAATTGTCACGGCCCCATTTCTACTCAGGGGAAGGAGTAGAGCATAGAGCATAAGAGCTAAGATTGTGGGTCTGGGAAAGATGGCCTGGATTCAATTTATGGCTTCACCACTGACTACCACCAACTTGGAGTTTTACCTCTGTAGTGCTTTTGATTCCTCAATAGAATAATGGAGATAATAACGATAGTCCCCACCAGTAGGGTTTTTGTGAGGATAGAAGAGATAATATACGGAAAACACTTAAAATTGGGCTTGGCACACAATTAGCACTCAATAAGTATTAGCTATTTTTATTAATATGTTGGAGTCCTTGCCTTTGAAAGTGATCTTCCATGCATATCAATGATTGTGCAGGCAATTCTGACTAGGAGGCATGAGGTAGGTAGGAGTCCAGAAACAGAGAAGCACATTGGTATGTTTAGGGAAAAACAAATTTTCAGTATTGAATTTAGTGACATGTAAGTTCATAAGTGATAAGTAGTGGGATTGGAAAGGAATATTTTAACTAAATTATAAAGCTTCCCTAATTCATGCTAAAATATTTGAACTTTATCCTGTAAACAGTGAAAAGAACTTTTTTACAATTTTAACTTTTAAAATATTTTTATTTTAGAGAGCAAGGGAGAGAGAGAGAGAGAAATAGAAACATCAATGATGAGAGAGAATTGTTGATTAACTGTGTCCTACATGCCCCACACTGGGGACCAAGCCTGCAATGCAGGCATATGCCCTGACTGGGAATCAGACTGTAACTTCCTGATTCATAGGTCAGTGCTCAACCACTGAGCCATGTTGGCTAGCAATAGTGTAAATTTTGAGCAAGAATGACAACAATCAGAATCAAAATACAAAAATGGATTTAATCAACAAAAACAACTTTATTGAGCATTTACTATGTGTCACAGTGTACAACTAAGGCCTCTAGCCCTCTTGAGTCTTAAATTTTAGTGAGATGAGTTAGGCAATAAATAATGAATCAAGAAGATGATTTCAGATAGCAGTAAGAGCTTTGAAGGTAATGAAAGGAAAGATGTGTTAGAAAATGTGATGGGAGAGTGGTTAGAGGAGACCTTTTTGAGCAAGGGTAATGTAAGGTATTTCCTAAACGAAAAGGAAGAGCCAGGCATGTGTATATCTAGGGGAAGACGTATTCTACGCAGAAAAACTAGGAAGAAGAACTCTAGGGAGTACAAAGCTCTTGTGATGGGAACACATTTCGTTATGGTCCAGAAACAAGACCAGTGTGGCTAGAGTTCAGAAATGGAGTCAGTGTATAGATTGGGATGAGTCAGGGGTGTGTTAAGGTTGATCATCTAGGACATTTCCAGCATTACAGGCAGGTTGGATGAAATTCTAGTATAATAGGAAGCCCTGACAGTTTTGTGAACAGGGGAGGGATATTATCTGATATAGGTTTTTAAAAATCCACCTAAGTTTTATGTAGAGAATAAGACATGAGTCAAATCATGTGCTCTCCATCCTCTGATATTCAGGAGTTATAGTTTAATGCTGATACTTGTAATGTCTCTCATCTTTTTGGAATACTGTTTCTATGTTTTCCATTTTATTTTATTTTTTCTTATTCACAATCACCCCATGATTTAATCAGGGTAGGGATTAGTCTATCTGTTTTTAACACAGTAAAAGCAGTGTCCCTAAGAGACGGATTTCTTATTTCTGTGATAGAGGTGTTATTATTATGGTTCTGCAATCAAAACCTAATAAAAAAAAAATGGTTTGGCAACCTCTCGCATGATTGGTTTGTAACAGGATTTTTAGTGTAGGGGATTGCCTTCAAGCCTCAGTTTGACTGTCCTCCATCCTGGCTTTGGTTCACATATCTGGTCAGTATCCTTGCTACTTATCTGTTTGATCTTGAGTCATTTACTTTACATCACTGAATTTTAGTTCTTTCTTCTGAAAAATGAGGGTAATAATACCTAATATAAATGGCTGTATTGATACTAAATACAATGAAAGTAGTTTGTGATGTCCGTAGCATTGTACTAACATAAGTTACTCAAAAAAAGCTTTAGCCGAGACCGGTTTGGCTCAATGGATAGAGTGTCGGCTTGGGGACTGAAGGGTCCCGGTTCGATTCCTGTCAAGGGCATGTACCTTGGTTGCGGGCATATCCCCAGTAGGGGGTGTGCAAGAGGCAGCTGATCGATGACTCTCTCTCATCGATGTTTCTAACTCTCTATCTCTCTCCCTTCCTCTCTGTACAAAATCAATAAAATATATATATATTTTTAAAAAGCTTTATTTCCTAAGCTGCTTATGCCCCCCTTTAAAGTAAATAGGTAAATGACTAAATTAACTGATGAACAATGAATTAATGAATTACTCAATGAATGAGTCATCAAAAAATTTGATAGATGGAGAAGTGTATAAATTCATCAGCTAATTGTTGAGAGCCAGATGAATTTAAGGAACTATGCTAGATATTAGCAATACAGCGATGTTAGCAGTTCCTGTTCCTTAGAGTAGAAGCTGTCACAATAAATACAAAGATAACTTCATTTTGGAGTAATAAATGTTATAATAGGCTTGTACAAAATTTCATAGGGGTCAAAATAATAGAGTGTTCACTGCAGACTGGGAGAGTAATGCATGGCCCTATACCTATACAGAGCTTTGGCAAGTGTATACAGATATTGCTGAGGTACTATGGATAAATGGAGTTAAATTTGACTCTCATTTTTTTCTTCTCAGGCAGAGCAGTTATTTTGCTCATTTCTGATCTTGGCATTTTGCATGTCTGTAGTTTTGCTGACCGTGTGGATAGAAACCTCAAATGACTATAATGGCTTTGACTGGTGAGTTTCACTTTTTGTGTTTTCATTTGTAAAAGGGCTTTTTGATCTGATAGCCACCTGGATCCTAACTGAGGTTGAAAAGACCCAATGTCCTAAGAGGAAAGGTGGGCAAAATTGTGCTTTCCACACCCGGTGGGTGGAGGCCTGCCCCTGGGGCCCCTGGGGCAAGGATGCTGAGCACCCTCACCTATTACTGCCCATCCACCTATGTTCAGTGGGACCAAATCTGATGCAGAGGGAAGTTTCTCTGTGCTTCCAGGGTCTCCAATACGTCTGTTATGACTACTCTCTGACACCTGTTCCTCAGCTGTTTTGTTTGGATTACTGATGCTTATGCTAGTTGTCCTTCATTATCTCTTTCAATGATCCCTGGTGTTTGGGCCTCACCTCCAGCCTCTGTAGGCATAGCCAGCAGATGAGAAGAGAAAGTCAGAAAGCCAAGTCTGGTTCCTGCAATCTTAAATAATAAAAGGCTAATATGCAAATTGTCTCCTCGACCAGGAGTTCGACCAGGAGTTCAGGTGGGAGTTCAAGTGGGAGTTTGACCAGGGGGTGGGGCCAGTTGGCCAACTGCCCACAGCCTCTTCCCCTGGCAGGCCCCGCCCCCGATTGCCCCCTATTGGTGGTAGAGCTGACCAACTGCCTGTGGCCCCTCCCCCTGGCCAGTCCTGCCCCCGATTGGCCCCTCTGACCCCAATTGGGGGCAATGCCTGCCAGCCAACTGCCAGCATCCCTTCCCTCCAGCTTGCCCCATCGGCCCCGGTGCAGGGGCAGGTTGGCTGGACCACACCCATGCATGAATTTGTGCATTGAGCCTCTAGTTAATAATAATAGTGGCTATGTACCACTTTTCAACGTTTGAAAACATACAACCACCCTTTGAAATAGGTATACCATTATTTCCCCCATTCTACAGACATGGGACTGAGACACAGAAAGTTCCCAGAGATAGTGACAGGAGTTGGATACAAGCATTGGAGTTCCTTGGACAGTTTGTTACAGCACAATTTCCTGGCCTCACATTTAGCAAGTCTGGGGTGGCACCCAAGAATTGGGATTCCTAACATGTTACAGAATTCATTTCTTAGTTCTAATAATTTTTGGTAGAATTTTTAAGATTTTCTATATGTATTATCATGTCATCTGCAAATACCCTGTTTCCCCGAAAATAAGACAGTGTCTTATATTAATTTTTTCTCCCAAAGTTGTGCTAGGTCTTATTTTCAGGAGATGTCTTATCTTTCCATGCACTAGGTCTTATTTTCGGAGGATGTCTTATTTTCAGGAAAATATGGTAGTGACAGTTTTACCTCTTCCTTTCCAATTTGGATGCCTTTTATTTTGTTTTCTTGCCTAATTGCTCTGGCTAGGACTTCTAATATTATGTTGAATAAAAATGACAAGAATGGGCATATTTGACTTGTTCATGAGCTTATAGGAAAAGCTTTTACCTTTTCATCACTGAGTATGCTGTTAACTGAGGGTTTGCTTTTAGTTTCATTGAGATGTAATTGACATATAACATTATATAAATTTAAGGTATACAATATAATGGTTTGATATATGTATAAATTACAAAATGATTACCACAATGAATTTAGTTAACATCACCTCACATAGCTCCAAATGTTTTTTCTTATAAATGATAACTTCTCAGATCTACTTTCTTAGCAACTTTCAAATATACAATATAGTATTGTTAACTATAGTCATCGCACTGTATATTATTTCCCTAGAACTTATTTATCTTATTACTGGAAGTTGTACCTTTTGACTGCCTTTGCTCAATTATTAGACCCCAGACCCCTGGCTCTGGCAACCGCTAATGTGTTTCCAGTTTCTGTGAGTTCAGTTTCTTTAGATTTAAGTCATTTAAGTGATATAGATATAGATATAAGTGATATCATAGTATTTATCTTTCTCATCTGACCTATTTCGCTTAGCATATTGCCCACAAGGTCCATCCATGTTGTTGCCAATAGCAAGATTTCCTTCTTTGAGTGACTGAATAATATTTATTTCTGTGTGTATATGTATTACATTTTTTAATTCATTCATTCATCAATGAACACTTAGGTTGTTTTTATGTTTTTGACTGTGGCAAATAAAGTTGCAATGAACCTGGAGGTACAGATATCTCTTCAGGATAGTGATTTCCTTTCCTTTATGTACATACCAGAGGCCTGATGCATGAAATTCATGCAAGAGTAGGCTTTCACAGTCCTGGCAGCTGCCTCGGCCCTCGCAGCCGAGGCTTCATCTGGAAAGTTGTCCAGAAGGTTGTCCGGATGGTAGTTCTGCTGTTCTGCCATTTGATCGATTTGCATATTACACTTTTATTATTATAGATACCGAGAGAAACATTGATGTCCAATTATTGCTCCCATACCCACTCCAACTGGGAATGGAACCTGCAACTTTTTCGTGTATAGGATGATGCTCCAACCAGTTGTGCCACCTGGCCAGGGTTTTTGAGTTTATTCTTGTATATGATCTAAGAAGGTGGTCTAGGTTTCATTTTTTTTTTTCATGTATTTGTCCAATTTTCATAATACCATTTAATGACTAGACAGTCTTTACCCCATTGTATAATATGTCTTTGCCACCTTTGTCATATATTAATTGACTATGTAGGCATGAGTTTATTTCTTGGCTCTCTATTCTGTTCCACAGATCTACATGTCTGTTTTTATGCTGCTATTCTGCTGTTTTGATTACTATATCATTTTAGTATGCTAGTTGCATATCAGGTAACCTGATACTTCCAACTTTATTCTTCTCAAGATTGCTGTGGCTACTAAGGGTCTTTTGTGGTTCTATGTAAATTTTTGGATTGTTTGTCCTAGTTTTGTGAAATACCCTATTGGTATTTTGATAGGAATGGTGTTGAATATATATAGATTGAATATATATAGATTGTAGTAAGTTATTTTAACTCTGTTAATTCTTCCTATCCATGAGCATGGCATATACCTTCATTTATTTGTATATGTAAAGATCCTTTACTTCCTTGGTAAAATTTATTTCTAGGTATTTTATTGTTGTTGTAAATAGGATTATTTTATTGTATTTTCAGATAAATTGGCATTTGTGTATAGAATCATTACTAATTTTTGTGTATTGCTTTTGTATTCTGCAACTTCACTGAAATAATTAATTAGATCAAACATCTCTTTGGTGAGATCATTAGGATTTTCTATATAAAAATTATGTAATCTGTAAATAGAGATAATTTTACTTTTTACTTTCCAATTATGATGCCTTTTATTTCTTTTTCTTGCCTAATTGCTCTAGCTAGGATCTAGTACTATGTTGAAAGTGGTGAGAGTGTATACTCTTGTCTTATTCCTGATTTAAAGGAAAATCTTTCAAACTTTCACATTGAGTAAGATGTTAACAATGGTCTTGTATAATAATATGTGGCTTTTCTTATGTTGAGGTATATTCCTCTTACACTCAATTTGTTTTGGTTATGATTATGAAAGAAAATTGAATTTTGTCTGCTGTTCTTTTTATATTTAAAATGATATATGGTTTTTATATTCCATTCTATTGATGTGATATTGTTACTAAATAAGGTCATGAGTTCACTACCCAAAGAGAAGCCAAAGTCTGAGCAACAGGTTTCCCAGAGAACAAATGATTTATTTGTCAGGCAGCCAGATAAGGAGACTGGGGGCAAGGTTCAAATCAGCATCCCTTGGACAAAGGATAATATCAGGAAGGGCCTACATATACTAATTCTAACTCAAGGGCTCAAATTGAGTAGTCTTGGAACTGAGTCATTGAAGGTAAGTAACATGGAGGGAGGAAGAGAGAACAAAGAAATTGCAATTTGGTAGAATTTAATTAGGCCTTTGCCTATCCAAATTTGGTCTCTGCTATCTTTTTTATTGATGGATCTCTTGATTCTTAATGGACTCCTAGTGGTAAAAGTAGCATCTCTTAAGTTCAGTGAATCTTGGTTCTTCCGTACTCTTTTTGTTGTTGTTGTTGCTGTTGTTGTTGTCTAATTAATTTTTTTATTGATTTCAGAGAAGAAGGGAGAGGGAGAGAGAGATAGAAACATCAATGATGAGAAAAATCATCGATGGCTGACTCCTACAGGCCCCTATTGGGGATTGAGCCCACAACCCTGCACATGCCCCTGACTGGAATCAAACCTGGGACCCTTCATTCTACAGCAGGCACTCTGTCCACTGAGAAAAGCCAGCCAGAGTCTCCTCTGAATTCTTGAGGTTAGTCTAGGGTTAGTTAGCAGCTAAATGCCCCTGCTCAAGCCTCAGACACTATTGACATGGCTTGATCTGATAGACTCTGGAGTGCTGAGGAGACCTGTTGTTATCTCCTGAAAGACACTAAAAAATAAGAGGAAAACTATTAGGGTCTGGTTTTAATGTTATAGATTGGTTTCCATATATCACATTTACTATTTTGTATGTGTTAAGCCATCCTTGTATCACAGGGATGGATCCCATTTGACAGTGGTATATGATCTTTTTTTGTTTCCTTCTGTTTTGTTTTGTTTTCCTGTTTTTTTGATATATGTTCTTTTTAATATGCTCTTGATTTTGTTTTTATAGTATTTTTGTGTGTGAATTTTTGCATCTATATTAATCAGGAATGTCGCCCTGTAGTTTTCTTATAGTGTCCTTATTTGGCTTTGTATCAGGGTAATGCTAACTTGATAAAATGCATTTAGGAGTTTTCTCTTTAATTTTTTGGAAATGTGTGAGAAGGACTGGTGTTAATTATCCTTTAAATAGTTTCCAAAATTCATCACTGACTTTATTTTTATTGGAAGATTTTGATTTCTGATTCAGTCTCCTTACTTGATATTCGTTTACTCAGATTTTCTATTTTTCATGATTCCATCTGGGTAGGTGGTATGTTTCTGGGAAATTAATCCATTTCTTTTAGGTTATCCAGTTTGTGGCATATAAATGTTCATAGAAGTCTCTATGAGCCTTTCTATTCTATAGTATCAGTTGTAATGTCTCCTCTTTCATTTATAATTAATAATTTAGGCCCTCTTTCTTTATCTTTGTTAGTCTTAGAAAAAAATTTGTCATTTTGTTTATCTTTTCAGAGAACAAACACTTATTTGTATTTTTCTTTTCTGTTGTGTTTCTGTTCTCTATTTCACTTATTTACCAAATGAATTGGTTCTTAAATTAAGGGAAGGCTTGAGGAAGGATTGTGCAGACAGCCAAAAGTATATACTGTCAATTTTCCTCCCGGTTCCTCTCTTTCCTCCCTCCTCCCAAAAAACCAAAAAACTCTGGCCATTGCCAGGAGGTTGTGCAGTGGGGGAGAAGAAATACTGTGGGGGAAATTACCGGATACTGACTCTGAACTGACACAATTTCTGGAGATATATGGATTCACCAATCAGAGCAGGTGCTTTTGGATAGTAGGAAATCAATAGTTTGGTTATTTCTCAAGTTCTGAAATGCATAGTTGGACAAACATACTCAGAAGCAAGCAGAATTTTCATAGTGATATTCCATCATCAAATAGAGGTATTTATAAGGGTGTGCTCCAGCACGTCCTAAAGCCACAAGTAAGTTTCATGGGCAGTTTTCCATTGCTGTCAAAGCAAATTATCACAGAGTGGCCTAAAATAATAGCTATTTATTTATTTATAACATTTTTATTGATTTCAGAGAGGAATGGAGAGAGAGCGAGAGATAGAAACATCAATGATGAGAGAGAATCATTGATTGGCTGCCTTCATGCCCCCTGCTGGAGATTGAGCCCATAACCTAGCATGTGCTTTAACTGGGAATCAAACTGTGACCTTCTGGTTCATAGATCAACACTCAACCACTGAACCATGCTGGCTGGGCAACAATACCCACTTATTATCTCACAGTCTTGTAGGTCAGAAGTCAAGCATGCTTGCCTGGATAATTTACTTTGGATCTCAGGAGGCTGCAATCATGGTGCTGGCTGGACTGAACTTTTACTGTTAGCCAGTGGTGGGGAACCTTTTTTCTGCCAAGAACCATTTGGGTATTTATAGCATCATTCTTGGGCCATAAAAAATCATCAATTTAAAAATCAGCCTGCTATGTTTTGTCAAACATTTAATTAACTCACCACTAATGCCTTGGCTGGGCCAGATCAAATGTTCTTGCAGGCTTTATATGGCCCACAGGCTAGATGTTCCCCACCCTTACTGTAGGCTCTGAGTGAGAACCCACTTCCAGTTTCATTCAAGTTGTTGATCAAATCTAGTTTGTTCTGGTGGTATGGGTGAAATGCCTTTTCTTTAGTGCCTGTCAGATGGAAGTTGTTCTCAACTTCTAGAGGCCAGTGCATTCTTTAGCTTGTGGCCCCCTCCATCTTCAAAGCTGGCAATAGTGTATGAAGTTCTCACATTTTAAAGACTTCTTCTTTCTCTTCTCTTTGACTTCTTCTGATTTTAAGAATTTAGGTGATTAACATTGCATTCACTCAGATAATCCAAGATAATCTCCCTATTTTAAAGTCAGCTGATTAGTAACCTTTATTATACCCATAAAGTTATTTTATCATCTAATATAAAATCATCCCTGGTGTGACCCTAGAGGACAAAAGTCTTAGGGGCCAGAATTCTGTCAATATAAATATATATATTTTAGTCACATATAAGGATATACATATGGATTTTTCTTCCATTCCTCTACCATTGAAAATTAAATGTGTTAATAGTATTTAATCATCATTCACATATTAGAATAGATGTAACAATCTTAATTAGCCTTTTTGGAAGTTTCTATGATAGAATAAGTTCTAATCTCTACAATAAATAAATTTTTGAGTAATCTCAGACCAATACAATATTTAACCATTTTAAAAGTTCTCAACCATTATCCTTTCAAATATTGCCTTTACCTTATTTTCTGTTTCCAGTGGCAATACAGGAATTCTGCATGCTCTTTTGGGGAGAAGATTGGTATGTTTTTGGTTGTATGAGGCATAATTGCATCATGATAGAAAGTAAGGATAATTAATAGAGGTATGTGTAGACACAAGTTGACAAGAGTGGTCTGTAGTAGTGTATAATACTATCTAGGTCAACCTAGCTAAACTGAAGCTATATTTCTCTGAATGCCATTCTCAGTATAGGATTGGGTTAGGATTGGTCACAAGAGAAATTTGCATAATATTTGAGAGTCAATTAGAAGCCTTCCCCCCCCCCCCCCCCCCCCCCCACTCTGAAGATCAGTAATGGGCCCAGGAATTATAGCTTCTCTTGTGCAATATCAGTATCTGGTAGTTTACAGAGTTGGCATGAAGCAGCACCTGGCCCCACAGTCTCCCAGCTCCTGCCAGAGCTGCTTCAGCTTCTCCATGTCTTTGGCCAGGTAAGTATGCAGCTCAATGATGAAAGACACCAGGTTTTCATGCAGAACATCCTTATCATAAGGTTTGGAGGCAGTGCATTATAACTTTGTTAAATTAACACTTGTTAAGTGGAACACAGGGTGCCCCATGGTGATTCCAAGCAACCAAAATGGTGAGTGGTGGTTCAACAAAAGACCAGAAGAGAAACTGAAATAGAGAAGTTTATCATTCATAGGTATTAGAGGAAGTTCATAGCTTGCCTCGAGGGCCGCACAGGGAGTTCAGGGCAGTGTGCAGGCAGAGAGAGGCAGGACCTTGGGCACATGCTTTTATTGTGGTCCAGGGGTGTAGTGCTTCTGGGTTTTGGTAAGACACATCGGGGTCTTCCCTAGGGGAGCAGAGGATACTGATCATGTCATATCACGTACTTACATTTGCTTCTTACTGTGAACTGCTATCTAGCTGTGCGCTTCCCAGAGAGAGGTGGTGTCAGTTTAAGGTCCTTGCAGGCTACTTGCCCAAGCAAAATGGTGGCCAAGGCAGCAATACCAAAAGCAGCTTAGCTAAACTTTTGACACAGCGATAGATACAGGTTCCATGTTTTCTGTGTGCCCTCATGGGTTTTAATCTGTCCTCATGTGTTTCAGTTTGTCCTTGTGTGATAGTTCCTTCTCATGGGTTTCATTTCTTTCATATATCATGTTCAGTTTTCTTTCCCAACTGCTGGCCTATATGATTTCTTGCAACTTTAGGCCAAATATAAGAACAGGTATAACAGCCTTACATAGAGCATTCTTTTGCAGCTTCTATAATAGCATAAGCTTAATCCCATCAATATATTTATTTCTGAGTGATCCCAGACCAATACAATATTTTAATCATTTTGGAAAAATTCTGAGCCATTATCTTTTGAAATTTGATTTTACCCTATGTTCTATTGCCTCTATTTAAAAAAATATATATAAATCTTTATTGTTGAGAGTATTACAGATGTCCCTTTTTCCTCCCCAATTGCTCCCCTCTACCCAGTTTCCGCCCCACCCTAGGCCTTCAGCACCATAGGTAATGCATATATGCATATAAGATCTTTGGTTAATCTTTCCCTGTCTCCCCCCTCCCCCCCCCCCACTCTTCTGAGATTCATCAGTCTTGTTCCATGTTTCCATGCCTCTGGTTTTGTTTATTCATCAGTTTATTTTGTTCATTAAATTCCTTGTTCATTATTTTGATTTTTAGATACAATTGTTGATAGATATACATTTATTGCTATTTTATCGTTCCTATTTTTTATTTTCTCCCCCTCTTCCTCTCCTTCCTCCTTCTCCTCCCCCTCTTTTTCCTCCCCTTCTTTTTCTCCTTCTCCTTCCTCTTCCTCTTCCTTTTTTTTTTTTCCAGAGAGGAAGGGAGAGGGATAGAGAGCCAGAAACGTTGATGGGAGAGAAACATCGACCAGCTGCCTCCTGCACACCCCCTACCGGGGATGTGCCCCCAACCAATGAACATGCCCTTGACCGGAATCGAACCTGGGACCCTTCAGTCCACAGACCAACGCTCCACCACTGAGCCAAACCGGTTTCGGCCCTCTTCCTCTTTTTAAAGAATATCCTTCAACGTTTCATGTAATACTGGTTTGGTGGTGATGAAATCCTTTAGCTTTTTCTTGTCTGTGAAGTTCTTTATCTGACCTTCAATTCTAAGTGATAGCTTTGCTGGATAGAATAATCTTGTCACTCCCTTCAGGCCAGCAAAGTTTCTGTTGAGAAATTAGTTAACAGTCATATGGGTGCTCCCATATAGGTAACTAACTTTTTTTTTTTCTTGCTGCTTTTAAGATTCTCTCTTTGTCTTTAACCCTTGGCATTTTAATTATAATGTAGGCCTCTTTGGGTTCCTCTTGTTTGAGGTTTTCTGCACTTCTTGGACTTGTAAATCTATTTCCTTCACTAGATAGGGAAAGGTTTCTGTCATTATTTCTTCAAATATGTTTTCATTATTTTGCTTTCTCTCTTCTTCTGGCACCTTCATAATGTGAATGTTGGTACCTTTGAAGTTTTCCCAGAGGCTCATTATACTATTTCCATATTTTTGGATTCTTTTTATTTTTGCTCTTCTGGTTGCTTTTTGCTTCTTCATATTCCAAATCATTGATTTGATTCTCCACATCCTCTACTCTACTGTTGAATCCCTGTAAATTACTCTTTGTTTCAGTTAGTATATGCTTAATTTCTGACTGGTCCTTTTTCATGTCTTTGATGTTCTCACTAATTTAATTTTTCACTAAGATCCTTAAAATTGGAAGTCCCCTGAAGCTCTTATGAAGATCCTTTAGCAGCCTTATAATAATTGTTTCTAATTCTGTATCTAGTAGTTTGCTTGCTTCCATTTCATTTAGTTCTGTTCCATTTCTTCTGTTTTTTTATTTTTTATTTTTTTAATTAAATTATTATCTGTGTACATATACCATTGCCTCCCCTCCCAGAGATGCTCTCCCTCCCCAGAGTTTTGTGTCCATTGGTTGTACTTATATGCATGTATACAAGTCCTTCAGTTGATCTCTTATCTACCCCAGATCTCCCTCCTCTCCCCGCTGTATTTTGACAGTCTATTTGTTGCTTATTGTCTCTTATCTATTTTTTTTAATATATTTTATTGATTTTTCACAGAGAGGAAGGGAGAGAGATAGAGAGTTAGAAACATCGATGAGAGAGAGAGTCATCGATCAGCTGCCTCTTGCACACCCCCTATTGGGGATATGCCCACAACCAAGGTACATGCCCTTGACCGGAATCGAACCCGGGACCTTTCAGTCCTTAAGCCGAGGCTCTATCCATTGAGCCAAACCGGTTTCGGCGATCTTTTGGTTCTTCAGTTTGTAATGTTCTTTATCATCCATAAATGAGTGAGGTCATGTGGGTTTCTCTTCTTCTGTTTTTTATTTTATTTTATTTTTTATTTTATTTGTGACATGTTTCTTTTTCTCTACATTTTGGCTGTTTCCCTGTGTTTATTTCTATGTATTAGGTAGATTTCTATGTCTTCTGGAATTGGTAGAGTGGTCTTGTGTGTGGTAGGTATCCTATAGGGCCCAGTGGCTCAGCCTCTCCAGCTGGGCACTCTAGGTGTGCTCCTGTGTGGCTGTGTGCCTAGTCTTATTGTAATTGAGCCTTGATTGCAGTTGGCCTCATTGGGAGGACTGACCCCCAGGGCAACTGGCTGTGAAGACCAGCTTCAACTACTCTCTGATGATGATGCCGATCTTGCTTCATTGGGGCTTTGGTGCTCACTGAGTCTTCCCCTTGAGCTTGTTTCTTGTGGATGTGGAGAGTTGTAATCTGGTATGGTCTGAAGCTGTCCACTGGGTGCACTTGCTTTGGGGCCTTCCTGGAGGCCTCCTGACAGGAGCTATAGAGATGTCTGCAGGTGGCTATTTGTATTGAGTTTAGGAGAAGCCAAGCCGTGAAGCAAGTGCTAGAGCTGGGCTTGGGCCTCTTATTAATAACTATGGGGCATGCTGACACCACTGCTGCTTGTTTAAAAGATTTTAGGGAAATCTGAAGCCTGACCCAGGACAGGCTTTCATATGGAAAAGCTGCTGCAAACAGCTTGGGTGGGACTGAAAGTTGGATGAGTCCAGGTCTCAGGGAATCACCAGGGTGGAGAAAACATTGTTAGCCAGCATGATGAAAATTCAGATATGGCTGCCAATAAGCTTTGGGATCAGTGAGGTCCCAGCATAGGAACAATGACTTCTGCAAGCACCTCTGTCTGGGAGAAAGCTGCCCTTGAGTTCCTGCCCCAATGCTAGACAGTCCAGTTCCTCCCCGTGTGTCTCTGGTTTCCCCAATGCTGCTGCCAAGGGAGCTCAGAGGGATTGAGTCCAAGTAAGTCCATGTGCCCTTTAAAGGGGACAGCCTGGGTTTCCAGCAACCTCCATGTTACTCAGCCACAATCCCTGATGGTTTTTACAGCCTGAAGTTATAGGGACTTCTATTCCCAGCTCTGGGACCCTGGGCTAGGGTCTGGTGTGAGGCTGGGACCCCTTGCTGCTCAAAGGAGACCTCCACAGTGGAAATATCCCTCCTGATTAAAAACACGTGATAAGTGGGTGTTGAACCAGCCTGTTCCTACCAGTCTCAATGTGCTTTCTTCTTTACTTCTCTAGTTGTATGACTTCCATTCAGCCAGCTTTCAGGCAGTTCTGAGTGATGGTAGTTGTGTATTTTAGTTGTAATTTTGATGTGGTTGTGGGAGGCTTGCGAGTACAGGTGTTTATACCACTATTTTGATTCCTTTCTATTGCCTCTATTTTTGAGACTTCTATTATATGTATATTAGACCTTTTCTCTTTATCCCCCTAGGTGTCACAGATTTATTTATTTATTTATTTATTTTTGTACTTTTCATGTTTTTTATGTGTCTCTGTTTCACTCTTGATTTTTTTTAAACCTTTTTTAAAAACAAAGTTTAGCCGAAGCCAGTTTGGCTCAGTGGTAGAGCATCGGTCTGCGGACTGAAAGGTCCCAGGTTCGATTCCGGTCAAGGGCATGTACATTGGTTGCGGGCACATCCCTGGTAGGGGGTGTGCAAGAGGCAACTGATCGATATTTCTCTCTCATCGACGTTTCTAGCTCTCTCTCTCTTTCCCTTCCTCTCTGTAAAAAATCAATAAAATATATTTTTTAAAAACAAAAAAACAACAACAAAGTTTATTTGGCTTTGTCTTACCTGCTATTAAATCCATTCATTGAATTCTTAATAGTTGCTGCTGAATTTTCCTTTCTAAAATTCTTAATTGAGCCTGACTTTATTATTTCCTCACTGAAATTCTAACTTTGCCCCAGTCTAAATATTTTAAAAAAATTTATTGAGCCGAAACTGGTTGGGCTCAGTGGATAGAGTGTCAGTCTGCGGACTCAAGGGTCCCAGGTTCGATTCTGATCAAGGGCATGTACATTGGTTGCGGGCACATCCCCAGTCGGGGGTGTGCAGGAGGCAGCTGGTCAATGTATCTCTCTCATTGATGTTTCTAGTTCTCTATCCCTCTCCCTTCCTCTCTGTGAAAAAAATCAATAAAATATATTTAAAAAAATTTTATTGATTGATTTGAGAGAGAGGGAGGGAGGAAGGGAAGGACAAAGATAGATAGATAGATAGATAGATAGATAGATAGATAGATATTGACTTGTTTTCCCACTTATTTATGCATTCATTGGTTGCTTCTTGTACGTGTCCTGACAGGAGATCAAACCCACAGCCTTGGTGTATCAGGATGATACTCTAATTAACTGAGCTACTTGGCCAGGGCCAGTCTAAACATTTTAAGGATAGTTATTTAGAAGTCTATGTCACATACTTGGTTTGAAGCTAGAATTCATTCCCCCAAAGCAGTCTATTTCCAGTTTGTGCTTACTCGGAAGATGTAGCCCAGGAAGATCCCAAATCAATGTATATGGTGTTTATCAGATTCTTCTTCTCTTTTCCCCTCTTACTGATGCAAGATGCAAGAAGCCCTCCTCCCTGTATCTTGGCCACTTCTAGAGAAAATCACTCCAAATGTCACATTATAGTTTTGGATTTCCTCTGATTTGGATCTTGGTTCCATATTTGGATCCTGGCTCTCTGATACCTTCATTTAGATTTAGAAAAACATATTGTTCAGTTTTTGTAGTTGTTTTCCTTACTTAGAGAAATGTAGAGCAGATTTTTGATGTATTAATTGTTCTCTTTATTCCCAAGTTTGTGTGGAGTAAACTTGTCTCCCCATTCCTTGCTATGTGAAGGTTCCCAATGCCTCACAACAAATCTTTTTTTTTCTTTCTTTCTCGGAGTTACTGTCAGCTGACAATAACTGGTGCTGATTATAAAACATTGTGGTATGTAGGGTATGAGTTGGGAGAAGATGCTGGGCAGCTGCATCTTTTAGCTGTGGGAAGGAGGAAGAAAGTCCTTATACAATTTCTTTAAACATAAGTGCAGGGAGTGTAGATTTATAGATGAGGTGATTGCCCGAAGAAGGCAGTCTCAGTTGAATGAGAAGGCCTTCATCTCAACAGGGATTGTGATCATGCTGCAAGAGGGAGGTAAAGTAGAGGCCCAGAGCAGGGAGAAAACTGCTTGAACATATGTAGAGTGAGCCTATTGTACGGTCATCAGCAGCTGTGTGTTCACAGTTTAAAGAAAGGATAGCTAAGAAAGACCCTTTTTCAATCCTACTGATGTATATGCTTTCACTTAAACTCCTTTTCATTATTCTCCCTTTTGTTACCCCACCACTGCTACCAAGAATGAGTACAGATGAAATACCGTATTTTCCAGTGTATAAGACAACCCCCTAATTTTACAGTTAAAACATAGGTTTAGGTCTATATTCGCTATATAAGACTACCCCCCACTTCCGAGGCAACACCAGTTCTTTTTTTAATAGACCGCCTCTCTGACTTTGGCCAATCTGAGCAGGCTTTTTACTAGAACACAGTGTAGCTTCGGGTATAGAACATGTATAATTTGCATGCATAAAAAGCCTGCTTGGATTGGCTGAGTTAGAGAGGCGGTCTATTAAAAAAAGAACTGGTGTTGCCTCGGAAGTGGGGGGTAGTTTTATACAGCGAATATAGGCCTAAACCTATGTTTTAACAGTAAAATTAGGGGGTCGTCTTAGACGCTAGAAAATACGGTAGTTAAAGGGGAGATAAAAAGAGAGAAAGAACCAAAAACAGTTCTTCCTTTGCCTGTAGTTCATAGCAGGTGGGTGAGCACTTCACCTGAGTTTGGTGAGTGAGTGTTGAGCTGAACTAAATAATACTATTTCCGTGTCATTGAATACACAAAAGAAGATCTTTTAGATTAAAAAAAAGTTAGAAAAAATCTAATGTGGCCAGAGAAATGCTTAGAAAGGAAGAGGCACTATTAAATGACAGCCCTTATTTTCCTTATCACTTGGAAAACTACTTGCTTAAGCCGTTGGGTTTTTTTTGTTTGTTTGTTTTTTTGGCTATATATAGATTGCTATTAGTTCATCTTTCATTAGTTCAGTACTTTTTCAAGGTACCTGTTTTATGGTTTTAATCACAATGATTGTATTAAAACACCCTATTTCTGTTATGTGGATATGAGTCCTTTATTTCTTTGAATAGGATATTTTTATTCTGAGCTTTTTTTCTGATGATTCCATTAATAATATCAATTTGGGTGCAAGTTCTCAACTTTAATCAGTTCATTTGTTCACATTCCTTATACATCTTATTAGTCCTGGTTATAGTCTCATCTACAGACAACTCTCACCAGTGGGTCTTGATCTGGAATGGCTCTTGCTATTGATAGAATGGTTGCTCTTCTGTTTCTTTCTTCTTGGTATGTCTTATGCCCCTGACCAAAGAGAATTTCCTCCTTTGTTTTGGAGTGGTTGTATGTTCACTAGTTTATATGTCATATCGTTAAAATATACTTCTTCAAGTTATATGGAGAGGAAGTAAATTTCTGTTGCTTGAAATGAAGTCTCTAAATTTTTGACATTTGATATCTAGACCAAGTATAACACTATTTTTCTTAGCAAATCATTAGTTAGTTTTTCTCATAAACTACCTTTAGTATAACACATCAGGATTGTTATACTAAAGGTATACAAATCTCTTCCATAGAATAGATCAATTAATGTGGTGGCTATGATTGCAGTTAGGTAAAAATAAATAAATAAATAAACAAACAAATATAAATATATATATTATATATATATATGTATATATATGTATATATATGTATATATATATATAATATATATATATAATTGCATGGACAAGGAACCTGCCAAAGTGGAAAGTATTAAGGTGGTGGCTTATGGATGACTTTTTCTCTTTTGGCATTTCAGAATTTATGTATTATTTCTTGCTTTCTAAAGAGGACATAATTTTTGAGTATATATTCTAAATAACATTAAAAAATCATACCACTTATACAGACCCTCATTAAGTACCCAAAAGTACTATAGGACAAAGTTAAAACTTCTAACTAAATATCCCCAAAGCTCTTCACATATATGTTCCCAAAATGCTTCTCTTCTTATCTCACTCAGTTTTCTTATGCCTCATCTAATTTAGTCTTAGATGCTACTACTTTCTGCTGTATTTTAAGGATTGAAACACATTTTTGCAGGGTTATTTATCTACTTACAGGATACTGGTACTTCTGGGCCATTCTTTTGCTGAGTTTATTTGGAATCCTTGTTGCCTACACTTCATTGCTATTGGTGAGTAACCTTTCCCATTTCTCCCACTCCCTTTCTGAGTACCTGCATGAGGTGCTCCTATCTCTGGTATGGTGCACAGTAGTGCTGGGAGCCCTCAGAACCTAAGGTCACTCTTGTATAAGTACGTTGAGGTTTACATCAACTGCTTGAAATTTAGGAACAAAGGACTAATGTAGAAAAATGGACTTGTGCAATCAGAGAATTCATCTTATCAATTGACCTTTTGAAAGGGTGACAGAATATCCTTTTTCTATTCCCCTATTTCATAAGCCCATTTTATAGTTCAGTCAATATTGTTATTTTAGGCACCCATAGCTTCACATTAACCTTTACATATGGAACTAACTCATTTCATTTCCCATCTCCTGAGAATTAGTGTTTTGGGGCTTTACAAATTAGCTCGAATTTTAAACCTATTATTGTATAATGTGCAAATGCTAGTCTTCTAGTTCAGATGCAAATTACATGTTATCAAAAGTCTTTTGCCAATAGTGACCCTGCCTCTATTGTTACATAGTAGTGTCATGTAGGGAGAGAAATTCAGGCCAGGCAAGAGAAAGGTGTGGAAGTGGAAGCTTATGGAGGACAACTGTAAGTGGGTTTACTTCCCACCAGACAACTGTAAAACCCTACCAGAGACAATGGTCTTTTGCAGAGAGAGAGAGGATTTATTGTGAGGCAGATACACAAGGGAGATCGGAGGCAAGGCTCAAATCAATCTTCTGGAAAGGCCTGAGACAAGTTTTAATGGAAGAGGGAGAGAGTAGGTAATACATATTCATACATTTATACTCAGAAGGGTTTGATTGGATAATTTTGAGAGTTAGGCATAAAGGGTAAGGGATATGAAAGAGGCAAAGGAAAGCACAGAGAATTTCCAATGTGGCAGAGTTTGGTGGAAAAGGGTAAGTTTCAAGAATTCTCTGCACAAACTCTAGTTAGCTCAACTCGTCCCAGCCAGTGTCCACCAGTTTTTGCTGGTCTCGGCAGCAGAACTGGAAAAAACCTTCCAGTGTGTGTGTGTGTGTGTGTGTGTGTGTGTGTGTGTGTGTGTGTGTGTGTTTCTTTTTTCTTTCTTTCTTTGTAATATTTAAAAAATTTGGGTAGTGTCCAATTGATCAGTGTCTCTTTTCAGTCCAATCAAATTTGGTCTCTGTGTAAGACACAAAATACTTTGTTAGTGTCTGTATCAGTCATCCCTTTTCTTTAAATATCCTTCAATCTTGAGGGATGGAATGACACAGGTATAGTGCTGTCTATGTAAAAATAACTCAAAGATTACATTAATCACCAATCTGAATTAAGGGAACAGACCTAGTTTTAAGCTGATTAATATGACTGGTGTGTTGTTTCACACGTTTAAGAAATTGGAGTTTTTCAATGCCCATTTGTACTTAGAGCATCTACTTCTTTCTCTGATTTCATGATTTCTTGTCACTACTGATTTACTCTCTAATATAAAAGAACTAAACTCCCCAATAAAATGCCATTTGCATTTATGTTTTCTCTTAAGAAAATGTATTAATCATGATGTGAGTGATAAGTACTAAGTCTACAGAGATCAACAAAATGTAAGCATTTTCTGTTTTCATACAGAAAACTTCAAAGAGATAGGTATGAAATGTAAACTTACTATATATAGTCCCTTAATTCAATGAATTTGGAATTTAGTAGGGCATCTTAGTCATATAAAAAAGTAACTTAACAAAGGCAGAGCATTATAACTGTCATTAGAGATACCTAAATACAGTTCTGCATGGATTCTGAGAAGGAAGAGGTGACATCTGCCAAGAGGATTAAGTAAGGCTTCTTGGAAGAGTGGGCACTGGAGTGGGATCTTGAGGGATGCTGGATTTGGATGTGGGTATATGAGGATGGAGAAGAACATTCCAGGCTGAGGGAACATCATGACAAAGTTAGTAGCATAGAAAAATATGGGTTGTGACAACATAAGAGGGAAAGGTCAGTTCTGTTATAATGAAGGGCGTAATGAAGACTGATAGGGAACATGGCTAAAGACATAGGCTTGTGACAGCTTTTGGAAGACCTGAAAGGTAGTTCTAAGACATTTGGCACAAATCAGAATTATAAAATAATTCTAGAAGTTGTGGTGTAGAGGTTGACAATATGCAGTAGGACCAGTTAGACATTTTTTCTTTTTTGTTTTGTTAATCCTCACCTGAGAATATTTTTCCACTGATTTTTATAGTGAGTGGAAGGGAGGGAGAGAGGGGGAACAGATAGAGATAGAGAGATAGAGGTAAATATAGAGATAGATGGAGAGAGACAGAGGTGGCGGGGGGGGGACACACAGATTGGTTGCTTCCCACACATGCCCAAATGAGCTAGGGTTCGAGCCTACAACCCAGGTGTACGCTCTTGACCAGGAATTGCACCCATGGTTCTTTGGTGCACAGGGTCATGCTCTAGCCACTTTGCAAAACAAGTCATGGCTAGACTCTTTCTTTATAATGGGAAAATGCAGATGAATAATGTGGTCTGGGCCAGACTCTGGCCATTGAATTCTACTGCTTTCATACACAGTACGAAATACAATGTGAAATGCTGTAGTTAGCTTCTAAGGTGGGAATAAGTTCTATGGAATACTGAATATATTTTAACCAACCCTCCTCCACCCTAGCTTTTATGGATACATGCAATGCATACAACAGTGAACAAAGAGGGAGCCCTAGTTTCTATTTTCAGTTCTGTGTTTGGATTGCTTTGTAACTTTGGTCAAGTCATATAACTTCTCAGACTCAGTTTCTTCTGTTTGAAATGAGAATGATAATATTTAATATAATGGTATTTTATAGGGTTGGGTAAATAAGAAATGAAATCATATACATAAAATTATTTTGATAAGAAGGTAAGTGTCATATATATTCCAACTCTTGTAACATCCTAAGTATCTGAAGTCTTCAGTTTTCAGTTTCTATCCCTACACTGACTTGGTGACTGACTAGATTTACACTGAAATCTAAGCTTTATTGACTAAACTAGAGGCCTGATGCACAAAGATTTATGCAAGAATGGGCCTTCCTTCCCCTGGCTGCTGGCACCGCCTTCGCTCTGGCCGGAGCAGCCTTTCTGCCTTCCCATGCTGCCCAGAGGCCCAGAGTGGCTAGAGTGGTTCAGAACACCATGGCGACAACACAAGAGTGCCCATCCCTGGCCGCTTGGTGCCTGCATACGCAAATTGACCCACCATCTTGTTTTGTTAATTTGCATACACCTGATTGACTGGTGGGCATTTCAAATGTATGGTCAATTACCTACTTTTTTATTAGGTAGATGCCATTGTTACCAACAGTGGTTAAAAGTTGTTATAATGACACTGGTTGCTCAAGAAAGCTTTTCATTGATGCTGGGAAAAGCTGGCCTCTGACCTTTGTTCTCTCATAAGTAGGTCTGAGTAATACCAGGATTAAGGTCTATCCGAGGAGTAAGAAATTGGTGGGAACTCAGGAAGGATATTAGTGTGGTAGTTTATTATGAATTCCATAAAAAATAATTCTTCCTGGGGGTGCTGGTAAGAGTTATGAATAAGAGGTGGCATGTGAACTAGCTTGAGAGCTCAGTGAGCTAGGGAGGTAGAGCTTTTCAGACAAACGGCAACATGGCAAGCACCCAGGGTTTGAGCAATGCAGGTATAGCAAGAAGTGAATGTAGTGAAAAGGCATTTGAATACAGAACAATGCTGTGGGCCCCAACTTGGTGATTTCAAAATAACCTCCTTTTTTTGTACTCTTCTTTTTCAGATACTTGGAGTTTTGTTGATTTGGGAAGGTTATGAACCATACCTGTTCTTGTGTCATAAGGTAGGCCATCAGAATCTTCATAGAAACCTTAGACCAGACTGAATGTGCTTCTTGGCACTCAGTGTTAAGTACAGAGTTGTGCTTTCTTCATTATTCCCCTTAGGAAGAAGAGATTTACTTACTCTGTTTTAACTGAACTCATGAAATTCTAACAGATGTGACTGATTTTACTGAATGATCTGAATCCAAGCTTTATTTTTCTCACCACTCATTATTAAATTCACTCTGTGACTGTTCTCAGGCAAGCTCCGTTACTTTCCTAGTCCTACATAGTGACAAGAACATTCTCCTGCCAGTCATTAAAAATTCAGTTCATTGTAATGTCCCAGACTCCAACTTTATTTTATTTATTTATTTATTTATTTTAATATATTTTATTGATTTTGTACAGAGAGGAAGGGAGAGAGATGGAGAGTTAGAAACATCAATGAGAGAGAGTCATCGATCAGCTGCCTCTTTGCACACCCCCTACTGGGAATAAGCCCGCAACCAAGGCACATGCCCCTGACTGGAATCGAACCCAGGGCCCTTCAGTCCCCAAGCCGACACTCTATCCATTGAGCCAAACCGGTCCCGGCTCAGACTCCAACTTTATAAGACTTACCCTCTCCCCCGTGGTGGAAGCCTCCACTGGTGGAGAGAGCATGATGGTATTATTACCTCTCTTTCACCAAAGGAGGGTCAGGGGTACAGGAGACAGGATAAAGAACATGTTCTCACCAGGAAGGGCAAGAAGATCATCTGGGATTGATCCATCAGAACCAGATAAATGCACAGTTGTTGGCTCCTTACCCCATGGCCTTTTTCTATGTGTATTTTCAGAGGCCCTTCTGCTGAGAACCTTGACTAAAATTCTTTTGGTGGAGCCATTGCCTGTATTCTTATATCCCCTGAAATTTTTTCTGGTGAAGTCCCTTTATCTGGAGTTTTTTAAATGGCACCAATATGGCTTCTCTTAAAGCACATGTGTCAAACACAAGGCCCGCGGGCCAAATCCGTCCCGCCAGGCCTTGCAATGTGGCCCCCACCGCGCTGTAATCACTGCACTCCGCTGCATTTCCATCACAATGACAGTTTATGACTGTTCAGTAAACCATTCGGCCCGTGATTTAGGCTGGATTTTAGATTTTGTCCCCTTCTCTGATTGAGTTCGACACCCTTATCTTAAAGGATTCCTAGATAGGAGGCATCTTTGCTCCTTCCCACCCCCTTTTGTGATCATGTCATTTCCATCATAACCATTATTTTGTTCTGCCATGTGTTTGAGACACTCCAGCTATAGCCTTTGCTTTTTCTAAACTGTTTCAGGCATGGGTTCGATACATTTTCTGAAATCAGGAATATGTCAAAATCTCTGAGTTGTCTTCTTACATTGACTGTTGCTCTAATGCACATGTGTCAAACACAAGGCCCGCGGGCCAAATCCGTCCCGCCAGGCCTTGCAATGTGGCCCGCACTGCGCTGTCATCACTGCACTCCGCTGTGTTTCCATCACAATGACAGTTTATGACTGCTCAGTAAACCATTCGGCCCGCGATTTAGGCTGGATTTTAGATTTTGGCCCCTTCTCTGATTGAGTTCGACACCCCTACTCTAATGAGACATATTAACTGGAAATATAAATTTAAGAATGATTAGAATGGAGAATGACATCAGAGGAATGGTGACATGAGAGATTCCCTTAGTGTCTCCCCTAGAAGTTACAACAGTCTGTATAGCTGTATCTCAACAAAGCATTCCCTGCTTAATGCACAAATACATCTGAGAGAGTCATGTATTAAAACATGTAAGGTGGGCAAATAACAACTGATGAAATAGAAGCAATACCCCCCGCCCCCTTCCGACACACACACACAAACACACACAAAAACTCCCAGCAAACAAAAGCCCTGATCCAAGTGGCTTCACAGGGGAGTTTTACCAAACATTCAAAGAAGAACTAATACCTATACTTCTCAAACTATTTCACAAAATCCAAGAGGAAGAATACTTCCAAGCTCTTTTTATAAGGCAACATAAAATGATAAATAAAGCAGATAAAGACACTACAAAAAAAATAATTATAGGATAATATCCCTGGTGAACATAGATACTAAAATCCTCAACAAAATATTAGCAAATCTGACCCAGCAATATATTAAAAAGATCATACACCACAAACAATTGGGATTTATTCCAGGGATGCAAGTCTGGTACGATATTCGCAAGTCAATAAACATAATACATCACATTAACAAATTGAAAGACAAAAATCACATAATCACATCAAATAGATGCAGAAAATCATTTCACAAAATCCAACACGCATTTTTAAAAAATAGATTTTTATTGATTTTAGAGAGGAAGGGAGGTAGAGAGATATAGAAACATCAATGATGAGAGAAAAATCATTGATCGGTTGCCTCAGGCACATTCCATACTGGGGATCAAGCCTAATACCTGGGCATGTGCCCTTGACTGGAATCAAACCTGAGACACTTCAGTCCAAAGGCTGTTACTCTATCCATTGAGCCAAACCTGCTGGGCCAACACCCATTTTTGATAAAAAAAAAACTCTCAGCAAAGTGGGAATTAGAGGTATCATATCTCAACATCATTAAGGCCATATATGACAAACCTACAGCCAACATCATACTCAGTGGGCAAAAACTAAAACCTTTTCCCCTAAGAACAAGAAACAGACAGGTATGTCCACTTTCACCACTCTTATTCAGCATAGTACTGGAAGTCCTAGCCACAGCGCGATAAGACATACAGAAGAACTAAAAGGCATTCAGATTGGAAAGGAGGAAATAAAAGTGTCATTATTTGCAGATGACATGATATTGTACATAGAAAAACTTAAAGACTCCATTAGGAAACTACTGGATTTAATAAATGAATTTGCTAGTGTAGCAGGATACAAAATTAACACCCATAAATCTATGGCATTTTTATACACCAATAATGAATTCTCAGAAAGAGAAACTAAACAGGTAATCCTATTTACCATTACAACAAAAAAATTAAGATACTTATGAATAAACTTAACCATGGTCATAGTTGCCCATTCCACAATGGAGAAGAAATTATTATATAGGTCGTGTTTGTTCATTCACTGGGGCTGTATTTTCAGACATATGCTGAAGGAATATCTTCAGTGATACAGCTCCTAGGGCAATGGAAACTAAAGAGAAAATAAACAAGTGGGACTACATCAAAATACAAATCTTCTGCACAGAAAAAGAAAGCATCAACAAGACAAGAAAGTCCACTACCTGGGAGAGAATATTTGCCAATGTTATCTCTGATAAGGGTTTAATCTCCACAATTTATAGGGGACTCATACAACTTAACAAAAGGAAGACAAGCAATCCAATTAAAAAAAATAGGCAATGGGCTGAAACCGGTTTGGCTCAGTGGTAGAGCGTCAGTCTGTGGACTGAAAGGTCCTGGGTTCGATTCTGGTCAGGGGCATGTACGTTGGTTGCAGGCACATCCCCGGTAGGGGGTGTGCAAGAGGCAGCTGGTCGATGTTTCTCATCGATGTTTCTAGCTCTCTCTCTTTCTCCCTTCCTCTCTGTAAAAGATCAATAAAATATATTTTTTTAAAAATAGGCAATGGATCTAAAAAGATACTTTTCAAAAGAGGACATACAAAGGACAAGAGACATATGAAAACATGCTCAAAGTTACGAATCATCCGAGAGATGCAAATCAAAATGACAATGACAATACCATCTCACACCTGTCAAAAATGGCTATCATTAACAAATGACAAGTGCTATGGAGGATGCAGAGAAAAAGTAACCCTCATGCACTGCTGGTGGGAATGCAGAATGATGCAGCCACTGTGGAGAACAGCACACAGTTTCCTCAAAAAAAAAAAAAAAAAACCCACTAAAAATAGAACTCCCATTTGACCCAGTGATCCCACTTCTAGGAATATATCCCAAGAAATCAGAAAGACCAACCATAAAGAATATATGCACACCTATGTTCATAGCAGCACAATTCACCATAGCTAATGTTTGGAAACAGCGTAAGTGCCCATCAGCAGATGAGTGGATTAAAAAAATGGTGATACGTATACACAATGGGATACTATGCTGCAGTAAAAAGGAAGGAATCCTTACCATTTGCAACAGCAGGGATAGAACTGGGAAATATTATGCTAAGTGAAATAAATCAGTCAGAGAAAGAGAAATATCACATGATCTCACTCATTTATGGAATATAATTAACAACATAAACTGGTGAATAAAAACAGATCCAGAGACAGAGAAGTATCATACCATCAAATTTCAGAGGGAAGGTAGGGGCAGTTTGAGATAAAGGGGAGAGATCAACCAAAGGACTTGTATGCATGCATATAAGCCTAATCAATGGACACAGACAACAGGAGGGTGATGGCATGAGTGGGGTGGTGGGAAGCAATGGGGAGATAAGGACACATATGTAATACCTTAATAAGGAAGATTAAAAAAATACAGAAAACTTTTCTCAATAAATGTTTGGATACTGCCTTTTTTATACTAACACCAGCTTCATTAAGCATAGGCTACTGTTGAGCCAAGGTTTCAAATATAGAACCAATTGAGATGCATAATACCTGGATTCTGATAAATGAATTCAGAAGCTCTAGTAGGTGTACTCATTCAATACATTTTCACACCAGCAAAGGACTAGACTTATCAGACATGGGAGGAGAGGCTGCTTCTGTTGGCAAGGGAAATTTTGTTGGAGTTGAAGTATTAGTTTTAGTGTACTCAGAATAAATCTGGAAGGACATGGTTAGCATCAGGCCTCTAACACATTCCCCTTTTACCTCATACCCAAAGAAGAATGATTGACCTAAATCCAAACTCCTTGTAAACATGCTAATAACCCAACCTTCCGGGAAACATTTATAAAGATGTTTATTAGCCAAATATAATAAGAATCATTATCTATGAAGATATCTAGCAGGATATAACCTGGTATATCTGGATTCCATATTGTAAAGAAACCTGGAATTTCTAGATTTGTAGGGTTTTGAGACATGGCTAGCTGGAGTTGTATAAGATACTAGATGCCCCTTGCAGGAAGATACCTGCAATAGGGCTTCCTGCTGTGGTTGCTGCCCTGCCTGCTTTTCTCCCTTCTTCCCCAGCCCACCTACTTCCCTCCTTTCTCTGCCACTCTGCTTGCTCGCTTCTCCACAGCTTCACTCCCTTCTGCAGTTTGGCTTCTTTCTACACCGTTTTCAGTCTTCACTCTGGCCGGGATATGCAGATTAACTGCCATTTTGGTTGGGTTAATTTGCATACTCACCCTGATTTGATGGTGGGCGGGGCTTGTGGGCAAAGCAAAGGTGTGGTCAATTTGTTTTATTTTTTATTTTTAAAAAGTAAATCTTTATTCTTCAGATTATTACAATTGTTTTTCCTTACCACCCCTCATAGCTCCCCTCCACCTGGTCCCCACTCCACCCTCTGCCCTTACCTTCCCCCCCACCCCCATCCTCATCCAAAGGTATATGATTTTTGTCAGTTCCTTCCTGTACCCCCCACACAGACACTCTTTTCCCCCTGAGAATTATCAATCCCCTCCCATTCTGTACCCCTGATTCTATTATATTCACCAGTTTATTCTGTTTCTCAGATTTTTAATTCACTTGACTTTTAGATTCACTTGTTGATAGATATGTATTTGTTGTTCATAATTTTTATCTTTACTTTTTTCTTCTTTTTCCTCTTTTTAAAGAACACCTTTTATCATTTCATTTAATACTGGTTTGGTGCTGACCTACTCCTTTAGTTTTTTCTGATCTATGAAGCTTTTTATCTGCCCTTCAATTCTGAATAACTTTGCTGGGTAGAGTAATCTTGGTTGTAGGTTCTTGCTATTCATCGCTTTGAATATTTCTTGCCACTCCCATCTGGCTTTCATAGTTTCTGTTGAGAAATCAGCTGACAGTTGTATGGGTCCTCCCTTGTAGGTAACTTAACTGTTTTTTCTTGCTGCTTGTAAGATTCTCTCTTTGTCTTTTGCTCTTAGCATTTTAATTATGATGTGTCTTGGTGTGGTCCTCTTTGGATTCCTTTTGTTTGGGGTTCTGTGTGCTTCCTGGACTTGTAAGTCTATTTCTTTCCCCATGTGGGGGAAGTTTTCTGTAATTATTTCTTCAAATAGGTTTTCAGTGTCTTGCTCTCTCTCTTCTTCTAGCACTCCCATAATTCTGATGTTGGTACACTTGAAGTTGTCCCAGAGGCTTCTTACACTGTCTTCAACTTTCTGGATTCTCTTCTCTTCTTGCTTCTCCGAAAGAGTGTTCTTTGCCTCTTTGTATTCCAAATCTTTGACTTGACTCTTGTGTTCTTCTAGTCTGCTGTTGGGAATCTGTACAATATTTTTTATTTCAGTAAGTGTATGTTTAATTTCTAGTTGGTTTAATTTCTTTTTCATATCCTCCAGGGTCTCGTTAAATTTATCGCCTTTTCTAGGAAATTCTTGAAAAACCTTATAACTGTGGTTTTGAACTCTAAATCCAGTCTTTTGTTCTCGTCCATTTCTTTTGTTTGAGATCTCCTTCCTTTTCTCAGCATTTTTGCTGCTTATGCAAAAGCAACTGTGGGGAGCCTTGGCGGTTTTGTAGAATGTGTGGGGCAGGGCGCTGCTGTCAGCTGCTCTGCCTTTCAGCGTTTCCAAGTCCCGGTGCTCCAATGCAGTAAATAATGATTGCTGCGTGCACCTCTGCAAAAAAGTCACCCTCACTTTCAGACCTGATGGCAGACCAGCTTCTCCCCTTAGGCGTCTGGGTCCCCCGAATGACCCCAGAAACTGGATTTTAAAGTGATCGGGAGCTTGTTTCCCTTTGGGTTGAAAAAAAGCTGTGCCCAGTCGCCTGCCACCAGCCCAATTCACGTGCCTCCGTACCTAGACTTTTCAGCTTTTCAGTGCTTGTGCTCCTTTCTCTTTCAGCTAGCTTTCCCGTGGTTCTGGATGATAGACGTTTTGTCTTTTAGTTGTAGTTTTGAAATTGTTGTGTGAGGCGGCAGATTAGTTGCTTACCTATGCCGCCATCTTGGTTTTTCAGTGCGGTCAATTTGCATGTTTCTCTTTTATTAGGTAGGATGGATGCTCCATAACCATAAAGGCTCCTTCTGTGAGCAGTGTTTCCATATACTTTGCCCAAAACACACGGCACATTTTAAAACCAGCATGTATTCTCGTATAGGAGAGAAAAGAACTTTTTATGAATATCTGCATTTGGCTGGATCAGGTTTCTCGAAGGGAAACTGTTTTATCTGTATCTTATAATTGCCTGTATTTAAATCACTAGTTAAGGCTGATGTTGAGTAAGGTCACAGAATCCCGTGAGACTCATATATGTCTGTTTGACAGTTATATATTTGTGTTTTGATGCATATTTAGTTTGCTAATAAGTTAAGATTTTTTTCATCTATGTACACAGGAGAGAGAGGCCTATATATTCATATGTCACTTAATAACAGGAATTCTGAGAAATTCATTCTTTGGCGATTTTGTGATTGTTGCAACATCAAAGAGTGTACCTAGTCAATCCTAAATATTATAGCCTATCGCTCCTAGGCTACAAACCTGTGCAGCATGTTACTATACTGAATACTGTAGGCAATATTAGTGTATTTACACACAACTAAACATAGAAAAGATACTGTGCTTTTCTACATTGGAGTGCAGTAGGTTTGTTTACACTGACATCAACACAAATACTAATGCATAGCACCATGACATTACATTGGCTACGATGTAACTAGGCAGTAGAAAACTTTCAGCTCCATTATAATCATACTATAGGTCTGATGCACAAAATTCATGCAAGAGTAGGCCTCCTAGCCCTAACCGGTTTGGTTCAGTGGATAGAGCGTCAGCCTGCGGACTGAAGGGTCGATTCTGTTTAAGGGCATGTGCCTTGGTTGCAGGCATATACTCAGTAGGGGGTGTGCAGGAGACAGCTGATTCATGTTTCTCTCTCTGATATTTCTAGCTCTCTATCCTTCTCCCTTCCTCTATAAAAAATCAAATATATATATATATATATATATATATATATATATATACACACATATATATGTATATATAAATGTTTGCATGTGTGTGTATATATACACACATATACACACATATATACATATACATATACATATATATACACACACACACACACACACACATATACATACACATAAATACATATATACATATGAAGAGTAAGGCCTTCCTTTCCCTAGCAGGCACCCAGGACCTGGGCTTCCCTCATAGCCCTGGCTTCATCTGGAAGGATGTTCGGTCTAATTAGCATATTATGCTTTTATTATTATAGATTATTATAGATGGGACCACCATTGTGTATGAGGTTTATTATTTTTTTAAAAATATATATATTTTATTGATTTTTTTTACAGAGAGGAAAGGAGAAGGATAGAGAGCTAGAAACATTGATGAGAGAGAAACATTGACCAGCTGCTTCCTGCACACCCCCTATTGGGGATGTGCCTGCAACCAATGTACATGCCCTTGATTGGAATCGAACCTGGGACCCTTCAGTCCACAGGCCGACGCTCTATCCACTGAGCCAAACCGGTTTTGGCATGAGGTTTATTATTGACCAAAATGTTATTATGGCACATGACTACTTTTTATTTTCTTGCAATGTCCCTGTTGAGTTTAGGTATTAATGTTCTTTGGGCTTCAAAGACAAGTTAGAAAGTGTTGCCTCTCTATTCTCTGGAAGAGTTTGTTAAAGATTGGAAATGTTTCTTCCTTAAGTACAGAGGTGGGCAAAAGTGAGTTTACATTTGTCTGAGGGAAAAAGATATGCAGGTTATGATTATTACAGTAGTTTTATTACCTCTGTGTTTCCCATACCACAACTGTTAACCTACTTTTTGCTCAAGTCTATATTTGGTAAAATTGAACATTTATGCTGGCAAGGCTTGAAGTTATTTTGTGAGAGGTTTAATTATAGTCTCAATTACTTTAATAGAAATGCAGATGGAACTAAGCACTCTCTAGAAAGTAGGACAAATGTAGAAAGAATACATTTCGAGGGAAAGAAGTTAAAGTTATATCAGCTTGGTCTTAACATTTTCTATGAGATACATGGTGTCCTTGCAGGCAGATTTTTTCATTTGCTTAAGAAGTTTTTTTTTAAATTATTATTATTTTAAATATATATTTTATTGATTTTCTACAGAGAGGAAGGGAGAGAGATAGAGAGCTAGAAACGTCGATGAGAGAGAAACATCAACCAGCCGCCTCCTGCACACCCCCTACCGGGGATGTGCCTGCAACCAACGCACATGCCCCCGACTGGAATCGAACCTGGGACCTTGCAGTCCGCAGATCGACACTCTACCACTGAGCCAAACCGGCCTTGGCTCAAGAAGTATTTATTGAAAGCTTACTATGTGTTAGACATTCTGCAAGGCAGGGAAGATATAATCATAAATATTTTACTTGATTTCATGAAGCTTACAGACTGTTGGGGGAAAGGTACAAAGAAAAGCTAATCACAAAATATTATTTACTTGTGACTATATTGAGTTGAATAAAAAAATTAGTGAATATCTGTAATGGCCATGGTTGAGACTGAGTGAAAGATGCCAAGCATTGCTGTGTGCCCAGCTGAGTTGGAGGTGATAATTATATAGTAAAGGCATCAGACCAAGTAACTGTGTGATTTTTTTCCAGCAGTGCTACAAAACAAAGACTTGTGAGCTAAGAAGGTAAATGATTGGTTCCATACTAGGGAGTTACAGGGTGGTCAGGTTAAAATAATAAGGAAAGAACGCCCCTGCCATTGTGGGGACACACATACAATTCCCAAGGACAGTTCTGACCCAAGCCTAGTGCCTGAAAGTGAGGAGATTTTGTTTTGTTTCTGCAGATCCTGGTCATACTAGCGGTTTTGGTATGCACATTTTTTCTGACGATTTTATGCGTTTTCTGGAATGACAGGTGGCTGACATTGGGGCTCTCACTGAAGGTAAGTATCATCCTGTCGGTTGAGCACTATTTGTCCAATGTGGTCAACCTGACGTTTGGCTTTCTCCCAGGTCTTTGCTCCCCATATGCATCTGACGATGATAACTCTGATGGTTTTCCTTTCCTGGCCTGTGGCCTACTACTTGATCCATTTGGAACAAGAAGGTATGTCCTGGCTTTAGCTTACATACTCTACTTAGCCAAACACAGCATGGTAGATAGCCACCACTAAGAAGCTTTGAAATTCATTTAGCTTATTACTCAGGCATGCTCCTTGTCAAACTCATAACCCCATGTGGCCTGTCAGAACATTTTCCTGGTCAAACAGGCCTTCTTCTAAAGAGGGATTCTCCTGGGAAAGTAAGAATGATCGCCTTGATGTTACACAGTGACTGTCTGGCAATGGAAAGAGGTTGGGGGCAGGGTAGAGGCCATTTTAATTTTATTTGCCAGAGTGATAGTACTAGTCACAGTTTCTTTATATTGTATTCAAATGTTACTAGTTTCAACTAATGAACTTATATGAGGTCCAGATATGCCTAGTTATGCTCTAGTAATGCAAAGCAGCTTCCGTGAGTCCCTGTCATACCTGGGAGCTTGGAGCAAAAGCAGAAACATCTCCCTCTGCCTCTGGTTTGTTCCCCATCCTTTGCCCTAATGCCATAGAAACAAAAAAGAGTCAGAGATATACATTAAATTGTTTTGAGAATGGAGTTCTCTCTCAGCACCCTTCCTGAGGAACCAGTAGCATCTTCTTTTTATGTATCTGTTTACTATTGGTTACATAGGGCGTGTTCGCTCCCTGATTGTACAAAGATAGAGACAAGAGAATGACTGTATTTCTAATGTTGGCATTGTGAGTGCTTGTACCTGTTTGTATTTGTACATGGAAGGTGAATTGTAGGAAATGTTTTGGGGCAAAAGTTTAAAGGTAACAATAATGAACTTTTTTCTTTTTCATTTTTGAAATTTTAGCTAGATTCAGAAGAAACCTGAGTAAACGTCATAAGATAAAAAGAATCCAGATATGTCCTAGACTCACAAAGCTGAGAGGTTAGAGCTGGAGATACAGATTTGAAAGTGACTGAAGTATGCGTAGTAACTTAAAAATGTACAAATAGGTAAAATCCTCAGAGGTTTACAATTATAAGTGATGGGGAGTGGCTAGTAATGACAAGTATTGTGGATGAGCTGTGTGTGTGTGTGTGTGTGTATGAGAGAGAGAGAGAGAGAGAGAGAGAGAGAGAAAGAGAGGAAGAGAGAGAGAGAGAGAGAGAGAGAAAGAAAGAGGAAGAGGGAGAGGGAGAGGGATGGGTAAATGCATAGTATTTATTGAGTACCTATTGTTGGTAAATCAACTCTATGAGGGAGTGGTTAGCAGCAAAATAGCCCCATTTTTCAGAATGAAGAAAATGGAGATGCAGAGAGATTAAGCAGTGGTCCTTAATCACACATTAGACCAAGGTTGGGAACCTTTTATCTGCCAAAGGCCTTTTGGATATTTATATCATAATTCGCCGGCCATACAAAATTATCAGCTTAAATATCAGCCTGCTAAATTTGGTCAAACTTTTAACCTTGGCACGTCCAGACCAAATGATTTCACTGGTCTTTTATGGCCCTTGGGCCAGATGTTCTCTACCCCTGCGATGTCTGGCTTTGAACTCAGACTTCTGTTAGCCAGGGCCCCTTTCACTATCCTGCACTGCCTTTTATATAGGGCCATTTTGGGCTGATCTTTATAGGCTTCAGGGCTTTCTCAGCACCAGCCATTCTACTACTCCTGAGAAGGTCTTCCTTAACAAGCCCTCTCCTTCACGTCCTTCCACCTCCTGCACAATTTATTTCCTGGATATTTTCAGTAAAATACTATTGCCTTAATAATAATGCTTACATTTGGATAGTGCTGTACTTTCTAATCACTGAAAATAGATGGGGATGTGATGTAAATAGCGAGTGAACCAGGGAGTCCACAAGGCACTGAACCCGTGCACTGGGTGTTTACTGGCGGCTGCTTTGGGATAGTTAGTTACTTGGGTTGGGTCTCCATTCCTCTTTATCTATAATTTTTTCTCACTTCCCCCTCCTTCCAACTTTTTCAGTTGCACAAGTGGTTATTGGACTGCCTTTTTTTATTATCCTTTTATTTCTGTTTGTGGTGCCATGGGGATTTTATTCTCCCTGCGTTGAGAATGAGAATAAATTGGGACCCAAGCCGAGCCTCTTTGGACATAGAGGTGCACCCATGGTAGGTCTGAGCATGATGAACTTGGGTGAGTACTAGTGTGCATGAGCTTATGGGTGAGAGATAAGGACCTCAGAACTGTAGGAATCTCTGTAAAGGAAAATGGATGGGCTTTTGATGAAAAGGATAAAGATAATCGTAGAAGTTAGACTTGAACCCAGCAGGTCACCTAACTCTCAGTCCATTCCTCTTTACTGTGCCCAGGGACATTGCCTCACTGAGCACAGTCCCAGATCTATTGAGTAGGAGGGAGGGGCTCACTACGGGCTTTCCATCTACCACAAAATGCATGCTGGGAGGAGAAACTGAGGCAAAGGGTCTGATGTCCTTTTCTTCCGCAGCTGGCACCGGAGAACACCATGATGGCCTTTGAGAAAGCTGTTGAACACGGGGCCTTTGGGCTGGAGACTGATGTAGTCTTAAGGTAGGAAAGCAGGGTGGGGAAGATATAAGGTGGGGAAGATATAAGGTCAGTGCTATGGAAGATGACCAGCATGGGCCAAGGTGTAAGAGCACAAGTCTCAGGGAGCTTCTCCTGTGTTCCTATGCCAATGTGCACATAGCTTGTGCACGTGTGCGTACACACACACATACACGAGACACTTCTCCCTTGCAAGCATATATCTATACCACTACATTCTTAATTATAGGGTCATAAATCATATATACTATGTATAGACTCCACACATAATTCAAATTTGGCCCCATTACAAGCTATGCTTAAAACTATCTAGCAATATGTTTACCTAATAGTCCCTGGACACCTACTATATTCTAGGCCTCCTTCTTGAGTGATATTGAGAGGCAAATGAGTACACTCTACTCCTGCCAAAGGGTTGTTCCCAGTCAATGAAGGAGACATGGCATGTTTACAGATACCCACAGTATATGACCATTTTTTGGATGTCCTTTCCTGAGAAGATTAAGTCAAACATGGAGGAAAAGGTCACTGCTTATTATATGAAAATTGACCTATGTACTCAGAATTGTGTTTTGGTTAAGTGTTGAAGAATAAATATTACTTTACACAAAGATATGGTGATAGAGTATTTTCCAGGCAGAGACAACAACTTATTTAAAGGCATCTAAGTAAAAAAATCAACAGCTTTGTAGATCAGTGAGCTGACCTGTATGGATGGCAAATTGATATGCTTGGGGACGTGAGAGGGTCATGTGAGGAGGAGGTATGGCTGCAAGGTCACTGGGACTTGATCATGGAGATTCTTAAATGTGTAATGGGCAAGCCATCATAGGTTTCCACAGATTTCTTATTGTTTTAAAATATGTGATTTAGAAAAATTCATCTGGCAATCTGTGACGGAGACTTCTCATGGAAATGGGTAGTGGTGTGTACAAACTCCCTTCACAGCCTTTCTGTGAGGCAAACAGAAAAATGAACAACCTAATTCAAAAATGAGGAAATGTGGTTTGAACCTGGATTCAATGAAGGGAAATGTATGGTCAGGTCATAAGGATGGAAGTACATGATAAAGCCAGAATTGGAACTACATTTCCTGACATTACCCAACCATGGCAACTGTTCTGTGCAGAATATTCAGATTGGGGTTTTGAAACAGGATGTCCTGTCAGAGCTCCTGGGTTCATTTGTGGAAGTGGTTGGTGGTCATGGCATAAAGTAGTAAAGGTGTTGAGCTCCTGGCCTTTCTTCTCTTGTTTCTGTGACTTCAACTGTGATGCAGATAATCCTTCCAACTCCTCAGTTTCTCTCCTTGATGGCATCTTCATTTCCAGTGACCATCTCCACATACTCCACCATTTACATGGATGGTCATAGTCTAGGCTTCATCATTACCAAAAAGTGCCTATCAGTCAGGACACGAATATCACACCAGTAACTTGAACAGGAAAAATGTGATATCAATTACTAAGTGGTAAAATATGGTTAACTACTTAAATTGGTAAAGTGGACCCAGTCAGTATAGACATAGCAAGTGTAGCTAATGGAAGGAACTTTTGTTCCAGATGAAATAAATGTAGTAAAAAATTTTCACCATATTCTCTCCAAGAATAATATTGAAAAAAAAATTTAAAACTTGGCAGAATTCACAAAGCTACTGACAGAAGACTCTGAAAGGTGGAGGAATGAAGGTGGACTGGCTAGGGTTCATAAGACTGAAGGAAATAGCAAATAGGTAGTGAGTTCCCCATTTTTGTTGTTTTATTTTGCTTTTCCTTATACATCCCTACATGAGCTCTGTAGAGACCCGAAACCCAGAAAACACCTACAGCTGCAGATGGAAAAAAATAGTCCCCTCCATATCTCCCCGTTTTTTTATTTTTTTTCTCTAGCAAAAAAATGGGGAGAATTATAGCCTAACATATGTTGACTATAGCAGGTGAACATCACAGTAAAGCCATTCCTCCCCGCCTGGGGCTCTGGTCCTAGAGATGATGGGCAGATCCCTGTCTTCCATTCCTGCCCTGAAATAAGAGGTATCTCTTTCCTCACTCCCCCAACTAGAGAATGAAGAGAGAATTATTAAGAAGTTATCTAGTGATCTTTTTATTGTAGTAAAAATACACTTAAAAAATTTATCAATTTAATCATTTTTAGTTTTACAATTGAGTGGCATTAAGTACATTGATCTTGTTTTGTTACCATCGGCACGGTCCATCTCTAGAACTTTTCATTTTTCTCAAACTGAAACTCTGTACATATTAAATAGCCGAAACCGGTTTGGCTCAGTGGATAGAGCATTGACCTGCGGACTGAAAGGTCCCAGGTTCGATTCTGGTCAAGGGCATGTACCTTGGTTGCTTGCACATCCCCAGTAGGGGTGTGCAAGAGGCAGCTGATCAATGTTTCTAACTCTCTATCTCTCTTTCTCTTCCTCTCTGAAAAATCAATAAAATATATATATTTTTAAAATGTAAATGATTTAAATATACTAATTAAAAGAAATTAGAAACAGATTTAAAAATATACACAGTCCTGGCCAGTTGGTTGGGCATTATACCATGCACCAAGAAATCACCAGTTCAATTCCTGGTCAGGGCACATGCCTGGTTTCAGAGTCAATTCCCAGTAGGGTGTGTGCAGGTGGCAGCCAGTTGATGTTTCTCTCTCACATTGATGTTTTTCTCTCTCTGTCTTCCTCTCCCCTCTCTCTAAAATAAATAAAAACATATTTAAAAAATATAAAAATAAAAATATGATACAAATATGTACTGTGTTCCAGGAATTCACCTCAGGGGGCAAATAGGGAGAAAATCAGGGACATCTATAATACTGTCAACAATAAATAATAATAATTTTTTTTAATTCACCTCAAATACAATGATTTAGGTAGGTTAAAAATAAAATAATGAAAAAACATGCTATATAAATTCTAATCAAAGCTACCCCAATAGAAGGGCTAAGTTATATTAATACTAGACAAAGTAGACTTCAGAGCAAAGAAAATCACTAGAGACAAAGAGGAACATTACATAATGATAAAATAAATCATTAAGAGTACATAACAATTCTAAATATACATATATCAACCCCAAAAACAGAGCTTCAAAATACATGAAGCAAAAACAAAGGAGAAATAGACAAACCCATAACTATAGTTAAGGACTACAACACCTTCTCTTAGTAATTGATATAATTACTAAACACAATACCATTCGTTAAAGATGCAAAACAGCCCTGGCCAGTGTGTTCAGTGGGTCAAGCATAGGCCTGCACACTGAAGTGTCAAGGGTTCAGTTTCTAGTCATGGACTTGTATCTGGGTTGCAGGTTGGAACCTCAGAGCACTTGGGAGGCAAACAAACAGTATGTCTCTCTCTCTCTCTTACTTTTTCCTTCCCTCCCTTTACCTAAAATCAATGGGAAAATATTCTTGTGTGAGGATTAAAAAAAAAAAATGCAGAACAGCTAACAATACCATCATCAATAGAATCTAAGTAACATTTATGGAACACTCAATCTAAGGATAATAGAAGACATTTTTTTCAAGTGTCCATGGAACATATATCAATATAAACAACATCATGCTCCAAAAAACAAAACTCAACCAATTTAAAAATACTGGTCATAAGAATGAATTCTCTAATCACAATAGGATCACATCAGAAAGTAGTGACAAAAGTAACAAAATCTCTAAACAATTGGAAATGAAACAAATCTACTTCTAGATAATTCATGAATTAAAGAGATCTTCTTTATTTGATATGTGATTTGCAAAACTTTTCTCCCCTTATGTGTACTGTTTTTCTTTTTTTGATGCCAAATGATTTTGACAAAGATGCAAAGAAATTCAATGACCCATGGCTCACACCATATATTAAAATTAATTAAAACAAAATCAATCATATAAATATAAGAACTAACACCAGAGAACTCTTAGAAAATAAAACAAAGGGGTAAACCTTTATGAATTTGGATTTGGCAGTGGATTCCATGATAAGACACTAAAAGCATGTACAGCAAAAAAGAAAAGATAGGTAAACTGGACTTAAAAATTAAAAACCTTTGTATGTCAAAAGACATGATCAAGAGTGCTAAATGACAAGTTACAGAATGGAAGAAAATATTTGCAAATCATATATCTGATAAGGGTTTAATATCTATCATATATAAAGAACTCCTACAAATCAATAGAAAGATAATCTAATTTAAAAATGGGCAAAGGACCTGAAAATGTTTTTCCAGAGAAGTTATTTAGGTGGCCAATAAACACATGAAAAGATGCTTAATGTCATTAGGAAAATACAAATTAAAACCACAGTGAGATATCCCTTCACACTTATTACTATGGCTATACTAATAAAAGGGAAATAACAAGTGTTTATAAGGATGTGGAAAAATGTAAACTTGTGTTTTGCTGGTGGAAGTATAAAATGGCATAGACTCTGGAAAAACAGTTTGTGCTACCTCAAAAAGCTTAACATAGAATTGTCATATACACTAACAAATCCCCTCCCCCCTCCCAATTCAAAACAGGGACTTAAAGAAATACTTATATGCCAGTGCTTATTGCAATATTATTCACAACTAGAGGCCCAGTGTACAGATTCATGAACATTAAAAGGAAATTAATTAGAAGGTGGCCCGTGGGGCGGAACTGGGCAAGATGGGCCGGCCATGCCCTGGAGCCAACCTCTCACGGTCCCTCCTCAGCCAGCCACACCTGGGACAGCGCCAGGACTTGAAGGGCATCTGTGGAGTGAGCGAGGTCCCTCTGGCAGGTAGGGTCCCTCTTCCTGGCCTGCGGGAATTGGGCTGAAACCAGCAGTCTGGCATCCCAAGGGGTCCCGGAATGCGAGAGGGAACTCTGCAAAGTTGCTGTTGCTCAGCAGCTCCTGTGTTGAGTGTCTGCCCCTGGTGGTCAGTGCACATCATAGCTACTGGCTGGTTGCTTAGCCATATATATATATTAGATAGATAGATAGATAGAAGATAGCCAAAAGGTGG